AAAATGACATTAAGGAATGGCAAGAATTCAGAGGAAAGTAGCAGTGATAAATGAAGGACTGAGCTAACTATCTGAGGAAGGACAGATGGCGTCGTTACAGGCTGCTTTGCAAGTAACATCCATAAACACCCAGGGAAGAAAGGTGCTGACAGTGTCTGGCAAGGGGAATAGACTTGTGATCTGTAGTCCCTCTGATAGTCATAATTCCACAGAGGAAATCCCCAAGATTCCCTTTCCACACACAGACCTGGATTTGACAAAATATATGACCGTGTGCTTTACTTTATGCATGGGAGTTGTTCCACTGGTATATCTTCTGTGCTTTGAGATGACAGAGACAGTGGTAGAAAATCCAAAACTCTGAGATTACTAGTCCTGCCCTTGCTAATAGGAGGATGTATGAAATATTTCCCGAAATAAAATTAGATACGTTTCATCAGTAAAACAACCCATTCCAGGGAGCTGGAAAGATCTGAAATTCCTGCAGGAGAATCCATCCCCATATTAGCACTTATGTTGACAGATGGTGCAGCTTCATATGAATAGGAATTTTAAGTCATTTTTTGTAAGTTGAAAAGATAAATTCCAGGCAGATTTTGTAGACCAGCTGGTCCTTTGTAGACCGCTCCTTGCGGTGACATTGTTAAGAAGCTAGGACAGTGGTAACTGTGAGCACACCAGACAGCAGAGCACCTCTCATTCCCTTCAGTAGTTTTCTTTGGAAAATGCACGAAGTAGCAGCAGCTTTCTCCATGCAGGAACTGGAAAACAGCTCACCAGATGGGCTGGAGAATTTATAAAATTAGAAAAACAAAGCAGCAAAAGGCCTTGGCTCAACAGCATTACTTCTAGACTGTCTCTTTGAAGTAACTACTTTTGAATTAGTTTATGCGCTTTAGCCAAGACAAACACTCAGGTCCATTTGGGAGTTTTGCTTCAGAGCAGCACATTAATACTCTGTAAGGAGATGGAGGGCATGTAGTAGATGTTTTCTATATCAGCAGCCTTAATCAACCCAAATCTCTCTTGCGCATTGTTAGCACACCCTCCTGCCAAGACTGCATCAGACACAGATGAGCTGTCTTATACTGTGCTTATATTTATCTTGCAAGAAACCTGGGAGAACTGATCCTCTCCTCCACAAAATGCATCACACAGAAACACGAGGGCTCTCAGAGGCTGGCCTTGCCCCTGCCCAGCATGTGCTACCTGTACCCACAGATAGCTACTACAGCTAACATACCCCTCTTCTCTACAGCCTCCCTGGAGACTAAACAAACCAAAACACTTCACAGAAGATGGCCAATAAAAAGCTGACTAGAGCAACCATCCCCCAAAATAACAGCATGTTTAGTTAGGAGAACCCTTGCCTTTCCACCTCCTTCACATATTTTCTGTAAGTGTTAGAAGATGAGCCCTGTCTCAGACGTGGCTCCTTATTCCTACAGCTGGCTTTTCAATAAGTATATCTCTGCTCTTACCATAAGGACTAGTTGCAGGGCTGGATTATCCCAATCGAATCTTTGCAGTCAGGCAGATATGTGCTCCTACTTAACGTCTGTGCATCTGACTGTATATTTGCTTTTTTTCACCTTCACTATCAGGAGCAGCAAATAAGCAGGACACATCTCTTCACAGAATATGAGCAAAGGAATAAAAACTGTGTGCATTAAAAAATCTGTGCACTCAGAGACTGCCAACTCTTCCATTATTACACAAGCAGTAAGTAGTATTGTAGTGGCAATAAACTGCTATTACTTTATATAATACTGAGCACCACACCACTGCCTGCAGCAGGAATTCTGCATATTGGGAACCTCCCTCCATGAGGCAAGTCCCCATGGTGACTTCTGTAAGGAGCTAGGGTGGTAGCAGCTCTTAGCATCCCAGAGATCTTTCCCAGTTCCCTTAGCAATTCTCTGTGGCAAAGGTATGAATAAACAGCAGCTTGTTCTAATTTGCACAGATGGAAAAAAATGTGATCCCGTATTGTTGCTGCAGACCATTCATTCCAAGGTGCCTTTAGGAAGTGACTGTGCAAAGAAAAGCTCTGTGGCAGCTGCTTCAGAGTTACAAGTCAGTTAGTGTGCTGCTTGCTGTAGTGGAGGGTTAGCTGCTGCATCCACTGCTGGGCTAAGCACTGCAAAATCATAGAAAATAGAGTGGAGTTCACCACCTTCAGTTCTGTGCTCAGTTCTGTTCTGCCACTTTCTCCTGGGTATTGCCACTAAGGCAAGAACACAACACCTTCAGCTACCTAAGTTTTCTGCTTTCTTGTCAGTTTTACTGACAACAAGCTTACAGCTTCTTCCCTTTAGGTACTCTTCAGACAGAAAAAAAAGTGATGTTGGAGCACAAAATCAAATTGAACAAAAGAGCTTAAAGTCTGGTTTGTGTTTTACTGCTCTGGAAATAGCAGACAATTCTGCATTTCTGCATTCAGCATTCTGAAATTGCCGTTTGGTACCTGGGAAACACTAAAATACCATTTTGCATCTCGTTTCTTTGTTTGGTGAACTTGGTTGGTTAGAGGGTAGGGGGTGGTGACTGCCAAAGTGATGTTCACCCAGGTGACACAGTGAAATCTTTCTGGACGTTTTCAGCCATTATTCCTAGGGACAACCTCCATCTGCAAATATAGGTAGGTTATTTTATATCTTGTGTGATAGGAGGACACAGGATTAGGCCAAGCAGAGGGCTGTGCTAACAATTTTCTCCATGCTGAGAGATTCCCACATCAGAACATATTCTAGGCAGGTTCAAGTTCAGTCCAAAAGGGGGAGCCTAAATATGAGCACACTGTGCCCCCCAGTGTTGGTCCACATTGGTCCAAATAGTTTTCTGAGACAGGTGGTTTCCTTTGGAGAGCAGGTTAGGCCAATAAGGAGCAGGGAATGAAGGCTGCAGGACAAATCCTTGTACTGAATGGCAAGTTACACAAAGCACTGGTACTCAACACAATCCAGTGTGAATACAATACTGGTGACACTACTTTTTGCTGTACTAGTTGTTTTCACAAGCTCATTCCTGTTTTTCTTCCCTGTAAAACCTGTGGTCCCATTTTAAAAAATGGTTTATTTTCCCAAAGGTATTTAATTAAGCTATCAGTTTAAGACAGTTTAATTAAATAGATTTGAACTACTTTTGGCATACAGTCCAGACTGTGGTTTTAAACAGATTTATTATTTTATGTGGCTGTTCTTTCAGGATGGGCAGGGCCCAATCTGAGCTTGGTGTCTCATATTTAGTTGAGAAGACTTTATTAATAATCCACTATTCTGGTCACAAGGAAAACTTCTTTTATATACTCACTTTTACTATACTGTAGTAGCTGGAGATACAAATTGGAAATTACAAAATCGTGGAAAATTGGGCTGAGAGGAATCTTGTGACATAATCTAGTCCATCCCCCTGTCCCAAGGCAGATTATACATTCCTAAACTGATTCTAAGGAAAAGTTCGGCTAACTTAATCTTAAAACCTCAAATGATAGAGATTCCACAATATCTTTAGGCAATCTGTTCCAGTGTTTTTCTATTTGGAGGATACACCCTCATCAGCCTTCAGCTGATTTTGCTTAACTCTTTGTGGTGCAGCAAAACTTGAAAAGGAGATTGAACATGGGAAAGTAAGGCGTGGGAAGTAGAGGGGACCTCCTATATCATCAAGTCCAGCTCCCTACTGCTAGAGGCAACCATGTCAGGTAAAGCTTTTCCTGCATATGTACAGAGCTCAATATTTGAAGTGGTTGGACTCTATCCCTAAATGGTCAAAATAAATTCTGCCAGAGAAACTCATCTTTCTTAAGGTTAAGAATCTCTTGTAAAGTAGAACCATGAAATCAGAAGAGAATTGCAAAGCCTGTGAGATACAATTGTGGGTATACAATGTGCAGATAATATTTTTCTCTGCCAGAAGATTTGCTCACTAATAGACCATGCAAAATGTCAAAAGTGAAAAGTAGATCCCTCCTGAATATTGAAATCCCGTCTGAAACAGATGATGATACGTCTAAATTTCCCAATGTAGTGTTTGAGATCTCACAAAAACGTCAGTCCTTCACAAGGACAGCATGAGATGTTTCTAACCTTCAAGAGAACTACATTTCAGAAAGGAGAGTGATACCGGGTTCAGGAAAAAATACAAAATTGTGACTCTACTAGAAGAATTCCTAGATGCTGTGGAAGAAGGTGAGAGGCCAGGTAGCAGTAAAGTCAACATAGAAATAACGAGAAAGACTGAGTTCAGTAGAATGGGAGAGCAATGTTTCTGAGTTGAGGATGAAAAAAATATTAGTTTAGAGCTGGGAGCTCTTAACTTCAGTGAACCTCTACATGTTTAATGAGAAAGACATCTTAGTCACAACTGATGTTTCAGACAATATTTGCCAATCTTAACATTTCAAGGTATCCTTCAAGATACAGAATGCCATGGCCCAATGGACAGGACAATACTTTCAGACAGGACCTTCTAGGGTGCTGAGTATTATCAATGAAGTCTTGAATTCAAAACTAAAGTAATTCAAACTAGCATTAAGCCATAGTCCTCCCAGAAGAAACATTTTTTTTCAAAGGCTCATAACCCAAAATGAGTCATGCTTGATTAGCATCACTTAGGCCAGGAGACTAATCATAGGATGATATTTCTATTTCATTTTAAGAAAGTCAGAGAGAACATCAGAATAATGTTCAGCATGGAAAACATGTTATAGCCTTAACATAGTGTCACTATTATAACTTAATGAAAACAGAGAACTAGGAACCTTCTCTAGTAGCAGGTGTCGCTGTTTTTCCGTATTTATTTATTTATTTAGCATGTCTACTCTCCAGTCAAAATGTTATTAAATACACATGAGACTCCAATCCAGAGAGCAACTGTCCAGCTCATTTATCGGTGGGGTGATAGATCAAAGAGTTTCACCTCCTCCTTCTCCTCACAGCTGCCCCGCACACATGCACACACACACAGAGGCTGGGAAACTCTACACCTAAAGCACCTACCTTAGGTTTGAAGGCGATTAATTTCAGGACCATCTCGACAGTGAAGAGGCCAGTGAAAAGCATGTTGAGGATGTTCATGGCTTCCTTGAACATGCAGCTCTGACCGTAGTGCTGAAAAACAGTGTCCCGAGAGCAGTGTGAGGAATGGACATGCCAGCTAGTTGGTTATCCACAGGACTACTGCTAATCTCCCTCCACATCAAGGTTATCTAAAGGAAACCCCAGCATGCTCCGTTTTTTCAATTTAGAATTCCCATCTCCCTTCAAACATGAGCATTTCTATACCTCTGGCCATTTTTATAATCTGACTCTGGATCTCATCTCTTTTTAAAAAAATCTTTTTGATTGGGGGCTACCAAAATCACACTTATCGTTCCAGTTGAGGGTTATAAATCTGCATAATGGTACAAGACACTTTCAAATTGTGTTTGTTATCTTACCCTTCCCTAACACCTGGGTTACTTTTTTTTGTTTGATTGCTACTGTGCAGTGAACAGGGGGTTTCACTGAGCTGTTCATAATGATATCAGGACATTCCCCGAATAATTGCACTTGATTCAGGATTCTGCAAAGTACATGAACAGCTCAAATCGTATCTTTCTAATATGCATTATCTCGCATTTGCCAACTCTGAATTAAATTTGCAATCATGCTACCATTCACTTAACTTTATTAAGATCTTATGAAGTTACGCTCTGTCATCTGTTAATTCAAATAATATCTTCTGCAGATTTTGCCACCTCATTTTTCATATCCTTATTTCAAAATCTTTATACTTGGGACCCATTACCTTATTTCAAAGTTGTTTTTCAGTTCATATTACAATACCTTGTTTGTAGTTGCTTCATTTTGACATTTTTAACCACCTGGACTGAATTTTCCTATTCTGCATTGGATCAGGGTGGTTTATTCAAAGGAGATTTAGTTAAAACAATTCAGATACAGATGAAGGACAGGCTAGGATTTGTTGAGGAATTTTCAAAGTTGCTCGTGACATTTTCCTTGAAAGACTTCAGTACCTGCAGGTCTTTGGTTAAAACCTTGGAATTCTACTGGAATGTGGCTTTTCTAAGTTTGAACCAAAGCGTAAGTTTTTCAAAAACTGTGCTTTTCTCGGGATGGATATAGACTTAGAATCTCCGAAGATGCTGTCCTGCCTGTGGGCTCACAAACATCTCACCAGCTTCTAGATCTATCTGCCCTGTGCATGCCCCAATGTCACAGCAGCTGAGCATGCTCCAAAGCTCCCAAGTGAACTTAACAGCTCCCCTCTGCTGCTTCATGACAGTATAGCAGTAGATGCTTCAGCTGAGAGAAGAGTGGGACTGACTCAGAACAAAAAAGGAAGGCGATAGAGACCAAGGGCAAAGGCAGAGTGGAAGGAACAAGCCAGAAAAGGGCAGGCTTGGGTAAATGTACAGAACTGTTTGTGTCTACACAGGCTCATTCCCTGTCTGGAAAGAACATAGAACTTCCTTTTTGTTAACTGACCACTTCGTAAAGGTTATGTCTTACTGCCCTTTATTGCTCTTCCACCTGCACATGTTAATCTACTACCTTTATTTGCTATTCTTGTAGATCCAGCTGCAGATTTTTCTTTGGTGGATTCCCACTAGATGTTTGGAAAACCCTCACACATTAAGGAGAATGAATGCAGTGTAGTGGGTAGTAGAGCAATCAGTAGCATCACTAGTGAAGCAAGTTAGGCAAACAACTATCAAGAAATACTTTAGGTGGAGTTGATCTTACTTTGTGGTGATGGAGTAGAAAATACAGCTTCTAGAGGTTCTTTCTCAACAAATTTATATGATTCTTAATGTAGAACAACGGAGATAATAGGGACCCTCAATTCCCACTTTCCTTGATTGCCTTGTTTGCCAGCTTATTTGCTCCCTAGTTTTTAACATAGAAAAGGCTGAAACTTGAAATTCAGATCTTAGATGAGTGACAGTTCAAGGCTTATTCTTGCATTTCATAGGAGACAAGTCAGAATTGAGAAGTCACGTGTTACTACAGAGGCCACTGAATTGACAAGTGATATAACTTTTTTAAAAATTTGTTTTAAAACAAGATAAACAGGATTGTTGGAAGCATCACATATTAGCACAAAGAGGAGAGGTAGGTTCCTAATTCTAACTAAATATCATCATGAGTGAACACAGTACAATGCCTTTTATCATGTTCCTCTCCCTCAACATATGGTGTGAAGGTGAAATTAGGTTTCAGCCTCTGTTATTTCTACATTTCCCTCAATAAGGTCTAATAATTCACCACCTGTGAGGTTTTCTGCTTGCTTACTTACTTGCATGGCCAGGCAGATGGTGTTCAGCAGGATCAAAACGAACATCAGGTATTCAAAATAGGTGGAGTTGACCACATACCAAACTTTGTACTGATACTGGTTTTTAGGGATGTATCTCCGCAGAGGCCGGGCCTTCAGGGCGTATTCTACACACTGGCGCTGTGAAAGAGGCAGGGTAAGTTTAAAAATCAAAAACACAATACGGGATTGATCAACTACTCCCAGATATAAAAAAGCACAATGTGTTTCAAGTTATTTTCTGAAATGACAATGCCTGGAAGAAGATTTTCTAATCTGCATATATTCTACCTGTTGTAGAGATCCATATGTATTTACTTTAACCACAGAGTGCTGTCAGTTTCCTCTAATCTCAGTGAATCAAATGGCACAGCACACATTTTAAAGTAAATACTGTCCTTTGTACAAATCTTACAGCAAGATTTTTATTTTTATTTTTTAAGCCAGATTTCTTAAAGATGGTAGTGAAGCCAGCTTATATCTTGTTGGCACTTTCACATGTCCCTCTATGGTTATATTTCTCTCTTAAATGCTTATTCTCAACATATTTTCTATCCTTAGTGGCAGTAAGTTATTGTAAATTACCTGGTTCTTGTCCAGCTCACAGTTCTTGTATTCTTGTTCTCCTTGTTCCTGAAATGTGACGATGACGAAACCAACGAAGATGTTCATCATGAAGAAAGCAATGATGATGATGTAGATAATAAAGAAGATGGAGATCTCAACCCTGTGATTATAGATGGGTCCCACATCCTCCATGTGGGAATCAATGGACCTATACAGCAACCTGAAAGCAAACAGGAGCCCAATGCAGAGAAAATCTGCAGCTGTCATGAGGCCTTATAGGTGATGTTATAGAATTCAGTTTTGTGATTTTCTTAGATTGTATCAAAATTACCTCACTCACAGATGCACTGACTTGCACTGATCTGAGTATAAACTCTTGCAAAAGAGAGAATACAGCTTTTATTGACTTTATATGTTTGAACCTGTTCAGCACTTTTAACATTTGTTAACACTGCTGTTGGCATCACCTTGTGACCCATTTCAGGGGCAACCCCACGATAACCTTGCATGCCCATGTCACTCTGACTGAGTGGAACTGTGGGAGTCCTCAGCCCCTGTGACAAAGAGAGGACAGCCTGGTGAGATATCCTGTGTCTACCCATATTGCACAGTTAGCAGTGCTGTATTTCAAAGTGGACCACTGGCTCCACGGGGAAACCTGCAGCACATAGCAATACTGGTAAGTGCCTGACAGGTGCTTTATATCCCTTTATGTACATAATATTTGTATTAATATTGTTATTACTGCTGCTACTGACAAACATTTATTGAGAACCAGAGACAGTGCTATACACTGCTTACAAGTATAGGAACCACAATTCCTACAGGTCCTGAGGAATTTACTACGTACCCAGTACTACAATGACTGCTGCTATTATTGCTACATATAATGTTTTAGACTTTTAAAATACTTAGAATGGGAAAGTCTGTTCTCTGAGTTTCCTCTTTTGAAATGAATGAGGACATTACTCGTGTTGCATCATCTCAAGAAGCACTCACTCTGGCCAGCCCTCAAAGGTCGAGACAGTGAAGAGGGCCATCATGGCAGTCAAGACGTTGTCAAAGTCAAACTTGCTGTTCTCCCAGCTCCGGGGCTGGATCATCGGCTGGTTGACCTCACCATCCTTGTACGTAATGTAGTACCCTCTGTGGGTGGAGAGGAGAGAGAGAATGTGACAGAACTGCACTTCTAGTGCCAGGCCCTGAGAGCATGAGGCCAGGGAAATGGGCTGAGTGGGAAAGGTCGGACTCACCTGCACTCTGCTGCCGTCTGCTTGGAGCTATCAGTGCAGCTGTAGAGTTTGCCCTTGAAGAGGAAGAAAGAAGAATGAAGCTTCCTTTCTTGACAGTGCAACAGTTAGGGCAGGTCATATACTGAAGGCTGCACTTACTACTTGTGTAACTCCTATGGGTATGTTTACATGCTCTGTTGCAGGCAGATGTGAACAAACTCTATCAAGAGTTGCCTGCATCTAAGTAGTTCAAGAGCACAGGCTTTCATCTGCTTGCACAGTGCTTTTCTGTGTGTGTCCTGAGGTGCATGTACCCTGAGCGCTGCCAAACACTAATTGTCCAAAGGGTGGTGAAGGGCACAGAAATAAAAGCAGATGTAAGGAAGTGAATGAGTAACCTCCAGTAATTAGCTGGCATACCCCATCTTCTACAAAATGGAAGGTAGACAGCCTGCAATTACCAATCCTTTAGAACAGCCCCCTTCACTTGTCATGCCACAAGCAATTTAGAAAATAGGGTTACTGATGTTACTGGTGATTTCTTACAGTTACAGGTGAAGCACAGCAGTTCTGAAAATACCTGATCCAGTTTTGGGGAACACCTGGTAGCAGAAGCCCAGGTAACTATGAGGGTGTCCTACACTGTCTTTCACACGGAAGATTCCATCTCCCCTCCTCTGGGTTTTTCATGATATTTCTCTTCCCACCCAAGAAAACAGCTCAGTGTAATGGTTAGATGAATGGGTCCAATGGTTTTACCTTGAACAACTGAACTCCAATGCAGGCAAACATGAACTGCAGCAAAGTTGTGACAATCACAATGTTTCCGATGGTTCGGATGGCGACAAACACGCACTGGACCACATGCTGCAAACGGAAGATAGGAACAAAAATAACTTGCAGGACTGTCCTGAGTTGCTCTGGCTAGGAGTGAAGTCCAAGGCTACAATGACAAATACAAATATTTCATTTAACTATTACCCATTAAGTCTCAGGAAAGGGGAGACAAAACCAGCTTACTTTCATCCTCATACTCTTGGAAGCAGGCAGAGAGTGGTAGGAAAATTCCAGAGCTTAGCTCTCTGAATGGTCCAGTAGCAGAGCCTTACATAATTGGGCACCCACAAGGCCCACAGGAAGGAATTTAACTAATAGTGCAAGGCTTACGAACCCATAGAAAACCCTAGAAAATGACATCACTTAGTTTTTGTGATGAGGCTTGAACACTACTTGAACTGTCACAAAAGTCCTTGCAACCTGAAATAACTCAGATTTATACTTTACAGAATGCTTTGAGACTCTTCTAACCTTTAGCCCTTTGGCTCTGTTGATGGCCCTCAGTGGTCTAAGTACTCGCAGAACACGTAGGATCTTCACCACATTGATGGCACTGGACCTGGAAGAAAGTATTATAAAGCTTGAGACAGACAGAAATATAGGGGGTGGACTGCAAGCAGAGATGGATTTCACCCACTTTCTCATCTGAAGTCCTACATAACCTTAGGATGCTTACGATAACTAGAGAGTAAATTAATTTCTACTTGCTCTGGCACCTCCGGAATAAGGAAATCACTCCCTGGTGCTACCTTCGTAGGTCTTGTTTCCTGATCTGTGCAGCACTAGTATATGTTCTCCTGGCTTTGACAGTCTCTGTTGTATTACTGAAGGGAATGCAACATGGGCAGTGATTTGTATTTATTTATTCTTATAAGCAAGGCAAGTTGCCAAATATTCTGTAGCTTTCTAATGGAAATTGTTCCAATATGTATGCATCACAAGATATTTTCAGATAGGGCTCATAGAAGTTCTCTGCTGAAATATTCACAGAAGAATGGACAGTCTGGGTGACTCAGTCATTACAGGTATACTGTCCAGGTAGGTCCTATAACTTATTAAGCAAATTAGCAAATCAACTAATACAAAATGGAGTGACAGAAGCAGGCTCAACTGATGCTGCCACCAGTGCTCTGCAGATTCTTACATAGCTTTTGAAGCACTTGATGATCTTCCATTGACCAAGACTCATAGTATATTAGGAAGTAGCAAATCACTATCATCCCATTTTATAAAGAGGTAATGAGAGCTCTGGGAAGGAACAGTAAGTCACTTAACTGTCCTGAACTGATAAAGTGACTCAGAAATCTTGGAACAAAGCTGAGTGTTATGATTCCCAATGGATCAAATTTCTTGTTCTCATTTGCTCTTTCTGGAAGATGTTCCCTCCAGGTCATTAGTATAGCATTTCCCAATTATCACATCCCCTCATGAGAATGAATTCTAATGCCTCTTGAATCATCTGAGAAAAATACCTCCAGGCTCATGAGAAAAATCTTACCCAGATAAGAGAATGAGATTGAGGTATCATCTCCCAGCCCAGCCCTACTATCCCAAAAAACCAACCAATTGAAAACAGCTCACTCACTGGATCCCAAAGGAGATGAGAGAAACGCTGACCACCAGCAGGTCTAAGATGTTGAAATAGTTTCTGCAGAAGGAGCCCTTATGGAGGAAAGCTCCGTATGCGGTCATCTGCAGGAAGGCACACGACACAAACACACTTTGCTGTTAGCATCTGTTCAGAAACCAAACCCATCTGGTTGTGCTCAGAGTATATATTTGGGTAGGGGTGGTATTTCTAACATAGACAAGACAATCTACCCTCAGGCCCCAAAGGAGAAGTTGAGTCCCCATGGAAAGAAGAGAGAGTGAAGAAGACAGTAAGATAACTATGAAAGACCTAACTATGGAAAGCCAACACTAGGTGCAGTGAGAAAAATACGCACTTAGAGTGCAGAGTATATAACATACTGAATCAGTAAAGCAGCGAAAAGAGTGTTTGCAAAAACTACTCATTGCAATCCTATGCATTTATTTTATTTATTTATTTATTTTATTTTTCCAATGGCAGAGGACACTTGTGAGTATGATACTAGTATTTTATAAAGGCCTCTTTAGTTAAATTGAATAAAATACACGAAACAAAAAGGGCTCTTTTGTGATGTTTTTCAGTGGTTATACCAGCTGCAGTGGACAGTTGAGCTCTCTTTCTTCGGTGAAGAAAGAACAGAATCCCTCCAGGATTTCATGCTTTAGAGCTGCACTGAAGCATCAGGCAGAATTCCTGTTCTCTTCAGTTTGCTACTTCTGTATGCTTTTTCCTACCTCTACCCAGTTTCCTCCCTTTTTATTCTAGAAGCAGTTCCATTTTCTACTTTGTTTTCTTAACAGAACCCAAGGGTTCTCTATAGTTCCTTGAGACCAAGAAGCCTCTTTGTGGACGTAGTCATTATGAATATCACCCAGATGAGGAAGGGAAAGATTTTACATATTTTACAGGGGAGGCTCAGCCCCTTCTGTATATGAAGGGTTATTGAATACTTGCTGGTGCTAAGGAGGATGTCACAGCTCCAGAGGTGGATTAAGAGCCAGTATAAACAGAAATGGGTCTCAGCCACAATGTCAGACCTAAACCCTTCTGAGTTCTGGAGAGCAAAGGTCCTGACTCCGAATTTTAGAATGAGCTCAGTTTCAGAATGCGACTAGATGAGTCTGGCATGGCGAAAGAGGGAGAAGTGATAATCGTATTTTTACCACCTACCTTAGCATCAGTGAGTAATCTAACATAGCTGCTTTGCAGAAACCCCATTCCCCGAGCTGCTAATCTCATTTCATTACCTGGGTTAGGAACACAGGCTTGTAAATTCAGTCCTCTGAATCTCATCTAAGTTAGATGTCTAAAGTAACCTGAAGCAGACGTCATTAGACTGTTCCTCAATGACCGGACTCTTCCAGCTGAGAAGGATGAACTAGAAATTAAAACGGGAGTTTTCTGGCTAGTAGCTCAGGATGGCATAGCTACTAGTGGTTTCCAGCCATGCCTACCTGTGACAACCAGGTAGCCAGAGGATGGTAGAAGGGCAAATGGTATATCAGATAATTTTTTCACCAAACATCCATGACATCAGGGAGCCAACTATCAATCGGTCAGACAGAACTGAGAAGGGGAGGAAGTATAAACTCGTCTTGGTTTAGAATTTATACTTATAGACACATTTGATTCGGGAAGGGGGGGGGGTTCTTGCCATAACAAAGGTGGTAAAGATGCCCTTTACTGATTATATTTTGTATGGCAAACTTGAAAAAAAGGAGACACCATTGAAATCAGGAGGGGAAGCTCTGTTGATTTTAAGTTCTATACAAACTGTGGTTGGGAGATTTTTTATTTAAGAAGAGACTCTCAAACCTGTGTCAGTATATAACCTGTGTCTGCCTCCCACCTGGTATGCTGAACAAAAACTCTTTGGGTGCCATTTAAAACCAAGACATAACTATCTTCAATGGCATGTTCAAAACATTGCAAAGTTGGTCACCTTGCTAACCTTCATCAGACTCCACCATGGCAGTGTGTGCTTGTAGGTGTTGTCAGCAACATGGGGGCAGATGAAGTTTGTTTCTCTACAGTTTTGATAATCATATAGTTATTTGTTCTTTTGCTTCTTACTATTTACATCAACTTTTCTGTTGTGCAAAAGATTGTGCTTAATACAAGGCAGCAGAGAAACTGGCCTGGAGAAACCCAGGAACTTGTGAGGCAGGAACTGATGGGGTAATAACAGAAGAATTTCTTAAATATTAGTATTCTTTGCACTCTTCTCCTACTTGTACTTGGATAAAATCCAAGGGTGGTGACCTAAATCCATTGAAGTTAATGGGAGGGCGTCAGGAAGCTCAGAAACAGGTACTATGCAGCACACTTCCCTGAGGAAAACAGGGCAATACACCAGTGAGTTATGTTATGTTTTGATTCCCCTGAAGTCATGAGGAGTGTTACCATTTGCTTCAATGGGAGCAGAATTGCTACTGTAAGTCTGAACAGGTGGGAAGGTGCTCTGGTATAGAAATTTAAGACTTGAACTACAATTTTGATTTTAAGTGTTGCTGTTAAGATGCTTTCCTTTTTTTGACAAGCCTTTTTGATAGGCCATTTGGTGTGTGCACGTTCAGATTTATTGTGTAAACACAGATGCACACTGCACAGCAGCATAATATGCACACCTCTTTGGAGAATATTATGGCTTTGCTGATTTAAAGTCATGTCAAAAAGCATTCCTCTCTACAAAAATATGTAGGGGCCACCCTACTTGCCAGCCTCCAGTATGGATACTGTTATTAGGGTCTTGAGTTGCAAGATCTGAGCAACTCTAAGGTGCTGCCTGCCAGCACTTAGAACTAGCCTGCTGAGAAAAATAAACAAGCTGCCAAACGAACCTAGCATTTAGAAAGCCAGAACTTTGCCCAATTACTGTTATTTAAATTATTAGCCTACAAATTTGGGAAAATTAGAGTGAAGAACGAGGCAGCCTATTTTTATTTTATTCTGAGCTAAAACACTCTCCTGCACATTTCCTTTGGTATAGAGCATGGTTCCTGGGAAATAAGAAGCCAGGTTTTAAACAGGCAGTACAGCAATTTTCATTTGTAGCCACCGTCCCTCATGTTATGGTGATTTTTACTCTTGGTTAACTCTCTGCTCCTCAGACATGAGATTTTGCACTGTGCTCCATGATAGAATCACTGCCTGGCTCCTATTTGGCTGTGTACCCTGTAACCTTCCATAAGGCATTGGATGCTCTTTGGCCCAGCCTCATGACTTGTGCAGAACTGAGACCTTCTCTTGAGTAGTAGCAGGTATAAGAGGAGCATGAGCTCGGGATTCTTTGTACAGCAAATAAGTCCTGTTTTGGAAAGACTGGCTGTGGTAGTGAGAATAGTTTCTGGAGAGAAGGCCTTTTTCTTGGTCCTCTTACTTGTTATCCTGTCATTGCATTTCCCCTAAAAAAGCATTGTATTGATATTGGCCTTATTTTACAAGTCTGAATATCAAAACTTCATATAAAAGTTCTTTTTAAGCAACTACCAAAAGCATAAAACCAAAAGATAAGCAATCTTTTGTGTAGAGATAATTCTGGTGTTAAAAGAAAAATAAAAATAAAAGAGAGAGTGAGACAAGGCAAGAGACAAAGAAAGAAAGAAAGAGAAAGAAAGAGACAAAGAAAGAGACAAAGAAAGAAAGAAAGAAAAAGAGAAAGAAAGAGAGAAAGAAAAAGAAGCAGAAAATGAGTTTATTGCTCAGATTGGTTACCTTAAGAATAATTTCTAATGTAAAGATACTAGTGAAGACATAGTCTGCATTGCCTAGGATCTGAAAAATAAGCACAATCGGGTTAGTTGTACTGAGCGTGACCCAGGAACAAACAGGCGTGTGTGTTAGCAACAGATAGTGGCAGAAAACTAGTAAGCTTGTGAACAGATAATGGTAGAGAAGATGGGCACTTTACCTTCAGAGCAATTTCAATGGTGAAAATGACAGTAAAAACTATATCAAAATAAAAGAGAATCTGTAAAAACAAAAGGGAATAGGAGTGGGGAGGGTAGATCAGTGACTGGCCACCAGAATGGGAAATCACAGTTCAAAATCAAATGCACAAGTCTCCTAACAAGGGAACAAGGAGGGTTATATAGGAAATGGTTTTGTAATGATGTCCTGTTGAGTGCAGTGAAGGTCCTGGCACATAGGACAAGCAGCATATTACATGAAATCTTTTCTGAGTTACAATCCCATAAGGGCTGTGGAGGGAAAACAAGCTTTTGGTTGTTGTTGTAAGATTTTTTTTTTTTCTATTTTTTTTTTCTTATTGTGATAAAGCACAGACAATTCAAGTTTTTTTTCACAAACAGATTTCCAAACTGATAATACAAGGATATCTGGTCTCTCAGTGGAAAACATGAGATTTTTTTCTCACTAGCTGCCATTCAGGCTTGTTTTGTGTCTCTTGTGAAGGAAGAAAAACAGACTGCAAATTGATGCTCTAGCTCATTTTTTTCTATACCCTGACTTGCCCTGGATCAGGATGAATAACAAATACTCTGTCAGTTGAACAGAATCACAGTGACCATAATTTGATCATGCACTAAAGGTGCCTGACTTACATCTTGCATCTTTCCATTCACATTCTGCATAACAGGCAAGCTGAAACACCCCTTGTTCCAATGAACTTAGACCCAGTGGTGGGCATACCCGTGGCATGCATAGCAGACCACAAGAAGCGGCCCTAAAGTGTCACAGAAGGCAACAGCAAGTCTGGAAGGGTTAAGAAAATTTTCAAAGTAACAGCATCAAGGATGGAGATGTCTTTCACTGCCCATTGACCTACAGCTCACAAAAGTAAATGGGAACTTTTTAACTGTACTAATGGGACCAGAACTGGACTCCATTGTTTCCAATATATTCCAATATTGCGAACCATTTTGATGTTATCTACACTGCAAATGGTAAAAATCAAAAGTATCGTGCCCTTGGATTACTGTTGTTTTAGCTTAATCAAGTTCTAAACCTGAAGGCCAATATATGGAAGCAGAAGAAACCTGATAATTTGCAAATTTAAACCTTCAGTGCTAAAATACTGATAAACATACAGAACTATCCTTCCCAGCCCACATCTCTTATTGTATCTATATGGTCTTGCTCTAATACAAACCCAAAGGTGGCTAGATTCTTACAGCTTGGTATGCCTGTGGGCAATCGGTAGCTATTGCAAACTACAGGGTTATTTTAGATTGCACCATTTAAGCATGACCCCAACCTAGAGTGATTTGCTGACACTGAAGGTCAAATGGGGACATATATCATTTACTGCTGCTGTGTAACCTAAAACTCCTCAGGTTACTGCTGGATTTTTGACCCCAAGACTTACATAGAAGTTGTTTTCTCTTCTTCGAGGACGGCTTAGGGTCTGTAATTTTTTGCAGATTAAAAAAGGGCCATTTCAAGGATGGACAGACCTCAGCTGCATTCTATATTAATTCCCACACATTATAGCTGGAAATGTCCCCTTGCATTGCTGCCTTCTAGGTCCTGACATTTGGTTATTATATCAATGGAATAATTTTATAATGTATGTGCCAAATTCATGGATACTCTAAGGCTGCTTTGCATGACTCCACTGACATAAAGCAGCCATAAACTTGATTAAAGTGGATGATTAAGCTGGGCCTGCAGCTGCTTTACATCACCAGAGCACTGCAAAGCAGCTAGGGCATATTGGTGAATCTGGCCCCAAAGCTGCAGCTAGTAAAGACATTCCATATAGATGAAATCACGCCTAATGGAAATGATCACTTCTCACCTGTGCAGGTGGTACCATTTACCAGCAGGCATACTTATTATTACCTAAATATATATTTAATCCAGAATATATTAGAATGAAAGAGCACCTTGCCAGGATGCAAACAGGAGAATATTGTGAGCCCATAAAGTTTTATGTCTTGCTTGGGATTTGAAGGCTGTTTGATCAGACTGGAGAGGCACTTCCACAGACTTGCTGCCTGAGCCCTGTGTGACACGGGAAAGATGCAGCCACCAGCCCACCCCAGGACAGATGCAGTATCCAAGCCTCTTTGCTAGCCCTTGCTGGAGGAGGTTCTCTCCATTCCTGTCTTCCTGCTCTGGGACAGTTTGCATCAACAGCAGTACAGGTCTGCAAAAGGTGAACGCCTAATTATGTTATCCCAGCGTGAGGGTGAGGCACTGTGTTTGCCTTCAGTTTGCTTTCTTTCCCTCCCAGGCACAGAGCAGGACACAATCTTACTGTTCTACTGTCAAAGTGTAAAGGCAGACAACATTTACAACACAAACATCTTGTCAGTGTCCCCTTGCATGATACATTTTAAACACCTGTACCTGCAAAAATTAAACACAGATTTTCATGCAACATCAGTGGGTTCAAATACACAACACAACACTTTGCACCAAACCTTCAGCTCTTTTATCCAAGACAAACATCTTTCACTACTATTTTTTTTTCTCATTTAAATATCTCTGCTATAGATTGTGCAGCAGAGTCTGTGGAATGGCAGAAGCCCATATTCCAGTTGACATCATTTTGCAGTGCTAATACATATTGACATACATTTAGCCCTACATGGTGGGCACACTCAGCCATGCACAAGTGGATCATTAGACACACGTTTGACTATTACTTAGTACCCTTCTTCAGGACAAAATGCAAAGCAACACTGAGATACGTTCAGGAATCAGCTTCCATTAACACCTTCTCTGCATGCACATGTGCATTTAAATGAATGCTCAGGCCGGAATTCTTCTGCTAGGTAGAACAATGAGCATTAAATTAAAGTTTTAATATTAATAACTAAATAAATGGTCCACTGTTTATGTCTAGAAAGCTCCTCCAGCTTAAAGGCACCAAAATGCCACTGCAGACAGCAGAGGTCAGAAGTCTCATACATGACTGCTGACAGTTCTGATTTCTGTATGACCCCAGATAAATGGAAACCACCTCTGGCAAAGTTAAGTACTGAACATTTCAAAAGGCTAATACGAATGGTCAGGAAAGAAGGTGAGAATGTATCTCTGTGCTGAATGCCTTCCTCTTCTTCCTGCAGCCTGGCAAGGAGAGGAGCACAGCATATTTTCTGAGGATTATCTCAAACTCAGTGATAGCTTTGCAGGTTGCACTCAAGCAGCCTGATTCTAAACTTGACAACACAAATTTCCCCCAAAGGGACTGCATCAAACTCAGAAATTGTACTCCTGATTCACAACCAGGGTGAACAAAGAGAAAATCAGGCCTTGGGCTTTTTAACTCAAAAGAAAGAAAAAAATAATAAGAAAACAGACAAGCAAAAAAGTGGCAGGAGAGCAAACATTCCAAAGGGAACTTGCAAATCCCACAAATTTGAATTATCTGAACCCCAATCAATGTTTCTACAGCCCATTTTTAATGCCTTAAATTCCAGGGAGCAGTTCTGTCCTTCTACCCCTAAGAGACACTTCTGAAATGAACTAGAGGCCAAATTCTGCACTGATTCATGTTCCCTACAAAAACCGATGATTTTACACACAGTGTACAAAAGGTACAAATCAGGGCAGAGAATCACTCCCAAAGCCTCTGATGTGGTATTTTCTGCCTTTCCTGGCTACGACTCGTGATCTGCTTGTACCACACCTCTAATACACAGTGAGGGAAGGAGTATGGTAAGCATACTTGGTTCCTAAAGGAGAGGTGTCGGACGGGGTCCTCAGCTGCCAGGGAGATGCTGCTGAGCAAGATGAAAAATAGGATCAGGTTGGTGAAAATGTTATCATTAACGATTCGATGGCAGTGGACACGAAACCTGAAAGAGAGAGGAGAGGCATAACTTTATCTCTCAGAGAACAGCAAAACCTGGGAAACATCCCCCTCTTCCTCTTTTGCTGGTAAGGCTGGCCCTGGAGGATTGCTCTGCAGAGCAGCTTCTCTCTGCCCCATAGGCTGGGAGAGCAATGGCCCAGGCAGCTCTGCTTTGCCCTGCTAGGTGCTGGGCAGCCTTGGCTCGCTGTGCCATGCTGTGATGCACCAGGGCTGCCCACAGGACTCACGCTTGGTGCGTGGTTTTGATATGTGCCTTCCATAAATGATAGCAGGATACGAGGAGTTAAACTTCATAACCTACATAATTCTAGAGGCACTTCATTAATCCATTTAGCTCTACTTTTGGCTGTTAAGCCTCCAAGCCCCTATTATAGCAATTTTACAGATGATTGCAGAGGTTAATTTACTTTTCCAACAAGCAACAGTGGGTGGGTGGCAAAGCTGACATTAGAGTCCATGAGTCCCAGTCATCATCAGGCTCTCCCGGTTGCACATACCAAGGAGGAGTGGCACAAACCCTGCTGTGGGAAGACAGGCTCTGAATTCTGTTGTGCTTTTATGGCTCTGCCTTACTTTGAGACTGTTTGGAGGCAAAGTCCCCAAGGGAGACACTGGGATACATAACGCTCTACAGACCACTGAGCAGTGAGATAATTTCTGAACCCTTAGAAAGATATATTCCCTTGTGGGTCCTGCTCACCCTCCACTCATGGTACTGGTCTCACACACTGGTATTGGAAAGAGAGGTGGGGTAATGTGAAGCCACACTGCATGGGGGAGCCTGAGGGAAGAGTTTGAGAGAAAAATAATTCTCCTCAGCCTCCCCTCAGAGCTATGGGCTCTTATCCTCCTCATTCCTTTTCTTGCATGCTTGTTCTTGGTCAGTGGGAATAAGCAGAAAGACAGGAACTCCTTACTGGGAGTATTTTTTTAGAGGATGTTAGGACAAGAAGCTCCAACTTCATGCTTGACTGACTACATGATGGCTTGCTTGCAGTTTGGACCTGAATTTGTTGGGTAGTTCCAATTACTGACTTGCCTCTGAGTTTGTTATTTCCAAGTTTTGAAGATTTGTGTCTTCAATCAGACTTGCAGGTGCCCTGTGCTCCCACTTAATGCTGTCAGAGTGCTTCCTACATTTGTGCTTATATGGAGATTTTATGCCAGGGTGAAAGACAGAGTGGTCAAAGGTGGTCTCTGGTATTAACTGTTGGAAGGGAGCTCTGCACAATACAACCTCTGGGGACCACTGTGAAAGGGGGACCTGCTCTTCTCCTTTTTGCAGCTGAGCAGCTTCTTAAATACCTGTTGTTAGGACTGAAGATGAAGAAAGCGCTGGCATCTGGCATGGGCACAGCTTTTTCCTTGAGGTGCAGTTCAGACATTGGGCGAGGTCGAGGGCCAACAGGCATCTCAGGTTCTTCCTCATCTTCCTCTGCTGCAAGAAACATTTCTATTTTTTATTTCATACTTTTTTTTTTTTTAATTTTATGCATAATACTACCCCTTATGGAGTACCGTGGCATTTTTTTCTGTTGGAACTAGAGCTAGAAACTTAGAATCATCAAAATAAGATAATGAAAGCCTGTGGTTCCTTGTCCACTTCCCTTCTCCAAGGCACCATCCACTGCCCATTTGCCAGTGTCCATCCTGGCAAATATAGATCTAGTCTGTTTGCAAAACCATCAACGCTGATAAATCCACAATATCCTCAGATGCTTCACTGTCCCTTCTGCAAAAATAGCTTCCCCTAATGACTAACTTTAATCTTTCTTGCTGTAGTCTAAATCCATTATCTGTTGTATTATTTTCCATGGACACAGAAAAAGAGATAATTCCCTTCCTCTTGCAGAAGACTTTTACATATTTGAGGACCATTACTATGTTTCTGCCAGGCATTCCTGTTCCTAGACAAAAACAAATCTTTCCTGAGGTGCTTTGTTCTCTAGATCTCTGATCATTGTCTCTACTTTCCTTTGTATTGTCTGTAGGATTAACCTGCAGCTGAGGTCCTACCAGGTGCAAAGGAGAGTTAATTACTTCTTATAATATTGTTTTCATGTTTAAATGCTTTTCATGGACACTTCTTTTCTTCACACTCTTGTATTAATTTGCCATCAGTTTTTGATTTGCACGAACCACAGATTCTGTACCACAGAATGGTTGCCTAGCCTGTTACTCCCCCCTGCATTTGTGCTGCTGACTATTCTCAAGAGTGGCTCTTTGACCTCATCCTTATTGAACTGCATCTTATTTTCTTCAGACCCTTTCTCCAGCTTATCAGGACCTATCTTTCTCCTCTGTGTAAGAGCTCTTCACGAAGCCATTGCCACATCACTGAGTACCCTCAAGGAAGAAAACGTAGAGATGGAAGCTGAGTGGTCTGTGAAAGAGAACCTTCCACCTTTGAGGATTTCTTCCACCTGCTGAAATCAGATGCTGTTTTGTAAATGATATGGTAGGATTTTGATATTTTGAAGTTCACAATCCTCTCACTTAATTAGCAAGACAGGAAGAAATATTTTAAGAAGGGTGCCTGACAGGTAAGATATAACTGATTCATCTTCCAGCCAACGCAAAGGCGGAAACACTAGTTAAAAAGGTTTATCTCAACTCCATGAAGTGAGATAAATTCCATGAAGAACCTATTCCTTTAGGATTGGATATGGTACTGGATCTGGTAATGGATGCATCAGAAAGATGCTGATTCGCCTATCAACACAGATCCCAATCTAGATGTCAGAGACAGGAGAAAAGTGGCCTTTTCAATGCATGTCATTATTGCATGCAAATAGGATTCTTTCTTTACACTTCTAGTACCAAAAGCTCAGCTCAAATTCACTTGATAGATCTTTGAATAAATGTTTGATCTGGCACATCAAGTTTGGACTTTCTAAGCAGGTCTATTTTTTAACAGCTCCATTTCATGTTGTAAAACACTTCATAATACCCATTCTACAGACTTCATTCTTTCAGAAGTACTTTTGTGCATAGTACTTGAAAAAGTGGTGTTAATGCTTATATTTATATATAATATTACAGCACTTTGCATTTGCACCTCTTATCTATAGATTTCGAAGTAGGTCTGACAAGGGCTGAGGTAAGCACATTCTTTGCCTTTAACAGTCTGGAATACTTATGTTCATGACCATGTAGGATGTTTGAGAGCTTTCACTTAAAAGAGTACTATTCTGAGTTCTAGTTCTGTGCCTTCATTATAAGATCACTCTTTCTCAAAGAAGGTTTTTTCTCATAGTGTTTTTCTTTTTAAGCACTTTCAAATGGGTATGAAACAACATGTCAGGAAAATGGACTCTTAGCAGAAGGATCAGCATGGTGAAGACCATAAGGAACATTGCTTGCTCTCCTCTTTTTCTAATGTCTGTCACAGTGCAAGAAATATATTAATGATTATAACAGCCACCTAGCTTCAGACTGGAAAACACACTCAGTTCCTCAGCTTTGGAGCAAGAATAATGTTCTAAATGTTTTTCATATAAAGTAGGGTCTAGGGCACATAAAAAAGGAAAAACTAAGGGTCAAATACAGAAAGGATAACATGATTACAGTTTCAGCTCAGGTCACTGCCTAAGCTATCTACCAGTATAAAGAAACAGCATGCTGCACAGTTGCCGGCATTCATACAAGCAAAGGTCAACACAGTATTCCCATGTTGGCTGGGGAACTCATTATCTGCAATCTTACATTTTTCTCTTTTTTCTATACCTAAGGTATATTAGTGTTTAAAAGTTGACTTTTCTATTCAAGCCTCCCATGGAATCATGAAGAAACATGACTGAGAGCTGCCAAGTTCAGTTCTAGTTTTGAACTCTCATGAAGTTCAAGGAAATTTAAATCTGGGACTGTCATCTTGAGTCATACTTCATTAGAACAGTTACATCCTTTGGTTGTGAAGCCATAAGAACAAACAAGCTATAGTGCAGCATCAGTGATATATTCAATGGTGAGGATTTTTTTTTTCATTTTACTATACAAAGACCAGAACTCTTGGGCAAGGACATTGCTTTGCTTCAAGCTTCCATGAATCATCCCAAGCTTTTACCTTCATCTGACGTTCTGAATTCTTTGTCTGTTTCTGTACCAGACTGCAAGACTTGCTCCCTGTCTTCCTATAATAAACATGTCATCATAATAATCCTTCTAGTGTACACAAATCTCTGGAAGAACTAGTCCCTCCCTCCTGCAAAGTGGCTAGGTGAACGGATGAGTTGCAAGTACACAGTGTATTCTGGGGTTTATTTAAGAACACACCATGCAGCAAATACAGTCAGAAGGGGTTATTGAGAAAACTCTGGTTGAGGCAATAGAAACTAATCAGAAACAGAGGGGGGTAGATTCTGAGAATAAAGGGAAAACAAATAAATCAACCTTTTTAGTTGTTTCTGTACATTGGGTTAGCTTGAAGGATGTTATCAGAGGATGGAATAATACACAGCCATGGGAAGGTTAAATCATATTCTGAAAATGGGTAGAACCTGCTGACTGCATCTAAGAAGCAATGAGATGTTTCCCTCCAACAACAGTTGAAATGGATCCACATGTGGGAAACAGGCAGAAAACAGGTTTTCCCTAGAAAAAACAGGTTTTTCAGGTGGGCTGCATGTGGCTGCACAGCAATCAGCAGAAGGACTCTGGGCTGGTCTGCAGCCACAAGGGAGCTGATGAAGGGACAGGGTACATGTGGGGATTGGGAAATTCTTGCTTGCTAATGCCAGGGAAAGCCTTAGAGCTTGGTTCCCCAGAACTGACTACGCAAGACAGATGTGACGTGCCATACCAGCTCTGAGAGGGCCTTGGTGTTTCTGAGCTTCATACTGCAGAATGGAGTAGATGACTATTCTAAATAGTATCTAACAAGTGATTTACAAAACTTTACTCCATCTGAGCCTTGTGGTAACTTCTGTGAACTCTGAAAGAAGTGGTCAGACAATTGTGTGAGCCAGTAGAGAGAGACTCTTTTCAGGGAAAAAAAAAAAAAAAAAAAAAAAGGGGGTTTCAGAGTTCTCTTTCCAGCTTGGAAAAGAGAAAAAGTAACTTCACTCTTCACAAAGAGTAGAAAAACAATTCTGGGAACAACCATGGGGGCCTGTTTAGAAATGGCATTACAAAAAGGCAAACTACCAAGATGCTGTCCCTTTGCATTGATAATGCTTTAGGAGACAGGAGCATCCATTCAAATGTCAGGTTCTGTTCAAAAATATGCCAGTCCAAGGATTGGTACTCCAAGGAAGGAGTTTTAAAATGTCTTTACTTAATTTTCTGCCTTCTAATCCTACACATGGCTGCAGATAAAACATCCATGACATGAATTGTAGATACAGCTTTTGTCAAACAGACAAAAATGTAGATACAGCTTTTGTCATGCTAGGCTATTTCTAAGCTGTCTACAGAAGGTAACTAAAACATAATTCTATTATCAGTAGGCTTAAATTTGCTATACAGGTGGGTGTATCTTCACTAGAAAAAATATAACGGTCTGCAAATCCAAGCTAGCTGAAAAACAGAAACAGAACTACCTCTGCCTGTTTTAATTTATGCTTGTGACTAAAGACTCCTCAGAACACATGAGCAACTGCGGATGGGTGTGCAGTAAGTGCCCTGTGCCTACAGAGGTGCTTGGAAGATTAAAAACAAAGTGATCTGCTTCAGGAACTGCTAAAACTGTACTGCATGGTATTGGAAACAGTCTGTTACTGATTAATAGGCTACAAATATGGATCAATACAAGTATAGCAAATGCACAGATCTTTTGTACTGAAAATCAAATTCAATGAAGTTTTCCTTTTTGCCTGCCTGAAACTCTTGTCCATCTATTTAAAGTGAACTATTGTGTCTTTTTTTTTACTCTGTCACATTGACCTATTAACAGACATTTATTAGGAATCACACAATAGAAGAGAATGTGATTTATTACCTATTACAGCCTGTTACATTATCATAGAAATGAAGAAAGGGCAGAGCAGGAAAGGACAACAAAAGGCTCTCCAGTTCATGCTTCTTCCAAGCTAGGATCAACTTACTATTATATTCAAGCCTTTTCTGGCAGATTTTTTGACTTTTCTGACCTGTTCTTAATCATGCAAGGGTTTCCACAACCTTCTTCACAATCTTTTCTAGTCTTCACTGTTAGAAAATCCTTGCCAGGTGTGAATCTGTTACTTCTCTTACTCACAATGGAGATGGAGATAATTTCCCTTCATGCCTCTAACAACCTTTTATGCATTTGAAAATGTTACTCTTGTCTTTCATAACTCAAACAAGCACAGTTCTTTCAAGTCTTAGTTCCTGTTTCCTTCCTGCATTGCATTCACCATGACCTGTTAGACTCTTTCCAAGTCCAGCCCCACTTCTCTTTAAGAGGAAATTCTTCACTCAGAGGGTGGTGAGGCACTGGAACAGGTTGCCCAGAGAGGCCTGTGGATGCTCCAGTCCCTGGAGGTGTTCAAGACCAGGTTAGATGAGGCCCTGAGCAAACTAAGTCTAGTGGGTGGTGTCCCTGACTATAGCAGGGGGGTTGGAACTAGATGATCTTTAAGGTCCCTTCCAACCTGAGCCATTCTATGATTCTCTTAGGTAGAGCACCCAAAATAAAACACAGAATCTCAGTTGAGATCTTACCAATTGCTAACAGAAATAGAAGTTGTTTTGCTCTGGTTAGCTTTCATTGGCCTGTTAGAAGAAATCCATAAACGGAGTAAAGAGTCTTGTTTTCACTGCTTATAATCTCAATACTTGTTTGCCTTTTGAAAGACAGCAAAATGTTCTTGACTCCTGTTGAGCTTGTGATCACAGGATTTAGATTCTTCTCAAGCACTGTTACCTTACTAATATCACCTAAGATCCTTTATTTTTGAATTATTTATTCCTGCCTACGTAGATCCTAGTGCTTTCATTTTATTTAGACCATTTATCCAGTTCGTCAGCAGCTCTTTGAATTCTAATGCTGTCCTCCAGCATGCTTCCTATCCCTCCTAGCTTCATGTCATCTGCAAATGCAATAGGCATATTTCCTCTTCAATCACTCAGGTCATTAACATTGAACTGAACTGAACTCAGGGCAGGCCTTTGAGCCATAGTACCTCTCTTGTGCCATCACTAATCTCCACATAAAGGGTTTGACCAAATTCTCTCTCAATCACCTAAGCCATGCTTTCCTTGCTGGTTTATGAAAATGTTACAGAAGACAGTCAGAAGCCTTAGCAAAGTTAAAGCATATGATATCTACTTCTCTCCTGTCTTCAAGTTTTTTCAGCCCCTCACAGAAGAAAGTGGTTTGATGTGATTTGTTCTTGGCAAATCCATGTTCCTGCTAGTCTTCTTATCTTGCAGTCTTATAGCTTGTTTAATCATTTGTTCCAACACTTTTTCAAGGATGGAAGTTGAACTAACTAGTTTGTAATTCCTCTGCTCCACCCCTCCCCACTATTTTAAAGACACAGCCTTCAAAAATTCTCAGAGAAAAACTGTTCCATGTTCTGAGATTGCTTCAATCATTTTTTAAAAGCATTTGAGAACAAAGTTAATTAGATCCAACTGAATTGAAAACTAGTCTAATGCTCTAGCTCATTTTTTTCCAACTTTAGGCTAAGAGCTTATGCCTTTGAATTATATTAATAGCCACACTGTCCTTTTTAATTAAAAAAGTGCAAAAAGGCATTCAGCACTTTTCCCTTCATAAGTATCTGTTGTGGGTCTTCCCTGACCTCAGAGTAATGAAAAAGTAGACTGAAAATACAGTTGTAGTCATGTAATGCGTGATGAACAGAGAAACAAATCAAGTACAACTAATCACTACAAGGATTCTGAAGGAAACATGGGCAAGTGAAGTGTAGCTAGCAGGGTGAGGGAGGCAATTCTCCCCCTCTACTCTACTCTTATGAGACCCTACCTGGAGTACTGCATTGAGGTCTAGGACCCCCAGCACTAGAAGGACACGGACCTGTTGGAGCAGGTTCAGAGGAGGGCCGTAAGGATGATCAGAAGGCTGAAGCACCTCTCCTATTAACACAGGCTGAGGGGGTTGGGGTTATTCAGCCTGCAGAAGAGAAGGCTCCAGGGAGACCTTACAGCCTTCTATTACCTAAAGGGGGCCAGCAGGAAAGCTGGGGAGGGACTTTGTCAGAGTGTAGTGATAGGGCAAGGGGGAATGGTTTTAGACTAAAAGAGGGTAGATTAAGATTAGTTATTCACAATAAATTCTTCACTCAGAGGGTGGTGAAGCACTGGAACAGGTTGCATAGAGAAGTTGTTGATATACCCTCCATGGAAGTATACACAGCCAGGTTGGGTGGGGCTGTGGGCAACCTGGTCTAGTGGGAGGTGTCCCTGCCCATGGCGGGGGGGATGGAATTAGATAGTCTGTCTTTAAAGGTCCCTTCCACCCAAACCTTTCTATGATTCCAAGTGCATTATCTTCTCCCATCATGAAGGCATTGCATGTTCAGCATGCTTGTTACCACAGTTAGGTTATATAAGCACTAGCAACTGGAGCTTCAATTCTTTGAATAAGAGAAAACTGAGAGATACCTGGTGCTTCTGTTGTGGGATATGGGCTCTTTTCTTCATTTTCATTGGGCTGATAATCATCCATGTTGATCTAACAGAAACAGAAGAAGAGAAAAAGCCTTTATCAGACAAGGCAGAGTTTTCATTCCCTCAGAAACCCAAGCTGTTCATGCCATCACTGCATAAAGAGTGGTGGCTGGCAGCAGACCTTGGTAGCAGGCGGGGATTCTCCATCAGCAGTGATTGATTTCAGCTCAATTTTCTCCTCCTTTGTCTCCTCCTCCACAGCTGTTTTTTCTATCTCCTGTTTCTTTTCAGGACTAGCAGTCCTAACAATTTGACAAGATAAAAAGCAAACAGTTACAAAGGTGAAAAGCTGTTTCCCTTTCAGGAACTTCATGTAGTACAGCACACACCATGAAAATGATCAGCTGGCTGGCACCTCCATTCTGAGTCCAGCTTATATATTAGTGGCTCCACCTTGTCCTCATCTGCAGGCAAAGGCAGAGACTGCTCTAATTTCATTTATTTTATAGCTTTCTTGATGGTGTGTGTGTACGTGTGTTTACGTGCATGCATGCATCTGTGGAAATAAGTGCCTGTGTGTTTGTGTATATGCACACTCTAGGTCTATGACTAGGTATCTTCTTCTTTCATCCAGCAACAATGACATGAAACATTTTCAAGCCCTCTCTTGTGGACTTCCACTAGGTTGCCTGCAAAGTTTTGCCCGTCACTGCATTTCCAGAGGGAAGGAAACCTTCCTGACTGGTGTGCAGGACAGAGCAGAAAGATCTGCACAAGAGGACCCCTCCAAGCAGCCTGGAAGAAAGTGAGGAGAAATAACCAGTAAGGAGAAGCTTCCCCACTGTGGAGAACAGAGAATGACAGAGAAGCTCTACACCAAGCTCATGTCTCCTAAGAGTGCAGAAACACTAATAGAACTGGCCAGAGTCCTTTGCTAGCCTGTGGCATCAAAAGAGAAGGAAGCCTCTGAATCCTGTGTCATGGGAATCTGAAAATACGCCTTGTGGTTCTGAGCAATCAAAAGGCAAGAAGAAGATTCAAATGGGATTGTCACACTGAAACCACTTCACATTCATTATCCACTGATGCCCTGAAATCTCATCAGTCACCCAGCCTTTCTTTTCTCTGCAACTGTGGAGATTCCCAATTGCTGACAACATCTTGTCTTTTAGTTTGAATTATTTTACTTAAAACAGAACAAAACATAATTCTATATATAGTTATATTAATCATATATATATAATCTATATACACTCACAGAAAGGTTATACATATTACATATATGTAGATACTTGCACATATATATGTGCATGATATGCGTGTATATATATACACATGTACAAATGCATGTATATGAATGTAGATAGATGTATGCATATGGATTTACCTAGCTAATTTTTTCCTTTCTTTTTCCTCTTCCTCCTCTTTCTGTGCAGATGTTAAACTCTCGGCATCAGCAAGGTTGTCCACAGCAATAGCCAAAAATACATTCAGCAGGATATCTGTGTGCTACTTAAAGAAAACAGACTTTGAAAAACTGCAGAACAACATTATACCAAAGGTGTCTTAATTGATTTTTTTTAGCAACTTGTCATCAGAGCTCTTCACTTTTCCAAACTTTCAATTCACACAAATGTTCAGAGCGCACATATTGAGCATGCACAAACCTACACCTTCCAACCAAATGTCTAACACACTATGTGGGGTTTCCAAAATTTTACAACAGAATGACTGATAGAAAAGATCCAAGATCCAGACTTAAGCACTTACATTTCAGTTTTTGGTTTCCCCAAAGAGCCCTGCTTTGTGCAACCAATCCCACTGAGGATAAGGGGATCTCTAGATGCTTTCCATCTCTGAAGGCTGAGTTTTTTTTTTTTTAATTAAAGCATGCACATTCAAGAGCCTCATACCATTAGACACCTGGGTTTTCCAATTTTGGACTACATATTTGAGTTGAACAACCTCATTAGAGCCTTTCCCACAGACATTGGTAGGTTTCAAGAACGGTAAGGATAGAGTTTCTGAGGGGATCAAAAGAAATTCATCTGAGTTGAGTAGCAAAGTGTTGAGCTGACAAATCTGTCATCTCCTAGCAGAGAGCCCATGTATGGGAGCCCCATTATAAACCAGCCAAGCACATGAAGCTGAAGGGTAAGCAATCAACTGCTTTCTTGACATGCCAGTCATTGTTCAGATCTCATGTTACAAATCTGAACACCATATTCTTTTATACATTTCTTCAGAGTGGGTCTTATTACACCATGATAACTTCTAAGTAACCTCCAGTTTAAGGCTTAGCTTGGAATTATAGCCACTGCCCTCACTGAGCTCCAAGGTCTAATGGCTACAAAGTCAGCCAGCATGTGAAGCTGGCTCACATTTTCCCCTGTAGTTCATAAGGTGATCCAAATTATAGCTTTTTTAAGCTGTCAGGCAGACTGCCTCCCTTGACCTTCAGATAAGTGGAATTGCACCATCTCACTTTGAAGAGAGGGCATGCAGGTCAACCAAAATGTCACATAACGGGGTTTGAGAGATCTGAGTTATGAGCAGAGGCCAGAAGAGCTGGGCTGAGACTACAAGCTGGCTTTATAGAAGACTTGGTATAAAAAGAGATGTCACCTCTGACACAGGAGGGCTATTTGTTCGGGAAACAGAATCTAACCGTGAACAAATTTGGAGCAAACAGATATGGAACAGAACCATAGCACTATGTTATACGCAAATTCCTATGAAAGGAAACTCATAGTCTAATCATGCAATGTGCTTTGTACCTCTGGGTTATGTACAGTGCCCTCACTTCACCTTGAAGCCAGAGAGAGCTGAAGTTACTTAATATCATTTCAGGCTGGTAGACAAAAGAGTACACGATTTTCTGTTTGAAGAACACACAGATTGTGGTAAGTGAAATGGAACATGGTTCCTGTTCGTTTATACATGAGTTAATATATGATCTCACATAAATCTATTATGTCAAACATATGTTACTCCTATTACAGCATTTGTATATAGCATATTGTAGATTATACATATTTTTATTCCACAAATGGCTTGGATAAAAGCACATGGAATATGTTATTGAAATGGCAATTAAAGCAAAAATACATAGTAAGAGCTGCAGGTAGACAGAGAGATTAGTTTATGAGGAAGGCAGGAAAGAAAGACCTACGATTAAATTAAGGGGAATAAAAAATAAAAGCACTAAACACGTAAAGATACTAAATAAAAGCTGGTGTACAGAACTGGCACGTAGTTGGCTCTTACAACTGTTTATATGCCTGAAGACTTAGCACTAGCTAAAATTAAACAAACTTGTTTAACATTTCGTAGTGCAAAGCCAAAATCCAGAGCTAGGGAAAAGGTAAAGATGTAAGGCATGAAATTCATTATTTTCTAATACAACAAAATAGTAAAGGGTGACTTTAAATTCAGCCCCACTTGGAGAAAAGAGTAGCATCAAAGGATACAGTTTCCACAGATGAAGAGGATGATGAAGTAAATACAGACCAACATTCCTGGAAAAGAGGGGCCGCCATAAGCCATGATCCCATCATACATCACCGAATTCCAGTCCTCCCCAGTCAGGATCTAAATGACACATTCCCACCAATAAGGGACACAGTGTTAGACCACACAGAGAATTTGAAAACCCCATTAACACAAAGATATCTACTATCCTAGAGATCACCCCCTCCCCCAAGATGTTTGGAGGCTCTGGCTGTATCCATTCCACAAATTAAAAACAAAAAGAGAGAATGTATAAAGGGCACCCAAAGTGTTTAAAAAAAAAAAAAAAAGCAGAGATGCTCCCTTGAAGACTGATGGTTGAAGCCAAATGGCTCTCCAAGACATCTTTGTTTAAGGCTTCCCACCTCTCCCAGGCACTTCCCTCCCACCTGTCTGTTGTTTTGGACAAGCTGTGCAACCTACAGCTTTGAGGACAGCACAGCCTGACACTTCCTTTCACCTTGCACATGAAATTGTGATCCTGATGCTCTCGGCTGATCACTCTTAAAACTACAGTCAGTTTAACTGCTGTTTGATTTCTTCTCTGGTGCAGTGAGCAGATATTTGTTGCCCAGAACTGTGGGAGATGAAGGGTTGGGATTTGGCATGCTGGCAATGTCCTGGGACATGGCAATGGCCATTCTCTTGTATGACCCTGATAAGCCCCGGTGGCCTTTTTACACAAGGACTTTAGCTTATTTCCCCACTTTGGGAGGGAATATCCCTGTCTTGGCAACACAGAGTGGTGCCATGCTCCCAGAGCTATTAGCATGGTGTACAGTCTCAGGGACTGGCAGGTGGCAGAGGAATGGTGCAGGGCCTGGTCTGTGTCTCTCCATGTAATCACAGTGTCTTGGTTCCATCTGCACTACTTATGCTCTTACCTGAAATACAGTGAGGAGGGACTGGGGGAAGTTGTCAAATGTACTCCTCCTGGTCTGCATTTCGTCAAAGTTAAACTTGCCCCCAAAGAGCTGCATCCCCAGGAGGGAGAAGATGATAATGAAGAGGAAGAGGAGCAGCAACAGGGAAGCAATGGAGCGAACTGAATTCAGGAGTGAAGCCACAAGGTTGCTCAGGGAGTTCCAATACCTGGTAGAGAAAATAGAGGCAGTTAAAAATTCTTGACTCCAAGACAGGTGCTCATGGCCTGCACAGGATATTGGTTCAGGCTGCCTTCTGTGTATAAGCAGGCATTTCCAAACACCCTGTTAAGCAGTGAATCATTGATGTGCTTCCCTAAGATAATGAGACCTACCACAGCTAATGAGTAATTTTACTACCACACATGTACATGCACAATTCCCTCCACCCCCACCCCATACGCACACCCAGAAGATTATTGCAGCACTCTCCATCTATGTCTCTGCAAATCTTATATCAATATACAGTGATTAGTTCTTGCTGCTTCAGTGAGTTACATTCTAACCAACCTCATTACAACACTCACAGATGTTATGGCTTGCCAGAATACCTCACTCCAGAGAATGGCCTGTAATAACTAGCAGGAGCAGATGGGGAAACAGTTTGGATGCAAATACAAACGTGTCCAAAATCTGGTGTGAGTATGCACTTGGACTCACTCACAAATAGAGGTTGCTACGCTTTCCGGGACTGAGAAGAATGAGGAAGATACTAAAGGTCCTTCACATCCTGCAATGCTTGTTTTACATGGACTCTTAAAGGAAGACTCCGCATCCCTAAGGACCTTAGTTTTTTTTTGCTGTTGGAAGAGCACACCGTCACTGCTTTTTGGGTACCGAACTCTTTACACTTTCTCAGGCAGGCTGCAGAACATTTTGGAAGGGCTTAGAGCTAGATTCAAAGACAGCTGGCCAACACATTTCCAGGATCCCCAGGACACCAAGGTACCAGCTGATCACAATGACCAAAAACAAGAGATGTTTCTTCTGTTCTCTGGGACTAGCAATAATTTATTGGATATGACTAAGGTGAAGCCCACTTAGACCAGCTCCTGAGAAAAGGAAAAAATGATCTTTGACCTAACACAAATGACAGACAATTGACACTTCTGCCTTTGGAACAGCTGCAATTAAAGAGAAGAATATGGCTAAGACCTGCTCTCCCACAGTTTATTCAGGCTTGTGCCCAGACCAGGCTGATGTATGCTACAAGGAAACGATCTTCTTGCCCTTGTGGTCCCACTTAAGGGTTCAAAGAGACACTGGTAGCATGCTCCACTTCAACATTTCTGTTTGCTTGCTTTCTTCTCCAGGCAGCACAGAAGCCATGTGTTGGAGAAATGCCGGAATTTTTCTGAAGAATCAACACATCACCCATGGAGCAACTTCCACTTCAGTCCTGCATCTGCTCAACCACTCTTACCCTACAGCTTAGTATGTCAAGATCATTTTTATTGTAGGGAGCTTTGAGTGTGACAGAGCTTTCAGACTAGGTTTAAGATCAGGTGTCATCTTCCAGTCACCTGATTTTGAATGCACATTACTAGCAAGCTTTGGTGGCTTGCACAAGGTCAACAAGCCAGTAATGCTTCCCTGTGATCCCTAAGTCTTCCTTCCAGCATTGTCTCTTATGACCACCATGATTTGAGATTCCATCATGGTCAATATCCTCTACCCCCTTCTCCGAAAGCCCACAACAATGAACCTTTCTGTCCTTAAAAGACTGACTTTTTAGACATATTTTCCTTAGAGAAATAAGCTCTACTTAAGAAGGATGGCAGACATATCTAGCACTCCCACTCCTTGGAGGAAGCCTGATAGTTCTTACATACAGATCTGTCTTTTCTGAGGACAGTTTAGTCAGTAGAGACAAAGTCTCTTAAAATCCCCCTTAAAATAGTGTTTTTACAATGTTAGTGCAAGAAGGTTTTCCTTGTCCCCTTGCAGGAATGTTTGAGTGGCCCAAATACTTCATAAAGGTTAGCAATCTGACCTGCAGAGGGGATACTGCCATGTCCTCTGAAGTTCAGCAACCAGTTCATCTCCTAGAGCTGAACTTCGGAGAGAACCAGTGATGTTTCCCTCCAGCCCAGGTTCAGCACTTCAGAGAAAACAAGAGCGCTTTAAAGTTCAGCTGCAGTTAAAGAGATGAGCAACGTAAAACTACAGAGCAAAGGTACGGGCACTGGAAGCTGTGGGCTCAGTGCCACCAAAGGCCTGTATTAAATGTGCAATGTAACAGCTCACTGTGTTTGTGTTTATGCTTACAGCTTCACACTTGGGGAAGAAGGGAAAATAACACAGAAAAAGGGAAAAACAAATTCTGATGAAACTGGACTGAATTTAGCATCCTTAAACCAGAAATGGATGGGGACCAGAATATCTTCAAGCCCTCCAATGTCAGCCAGGACACACATTTTTCTAGATCTTTCTAGCAGTGTCCTTAAGAGGTATACAGTAAAGCTGTTACACATCTGAATAGTCTCAATGACTCACTTAAAGCTTAAATGCCTTGCTATCTCAGAGCACAACTGTACAGACTTTTATCAGCTCTGCATTTCTTACAAATGGCTCAATACCTGAGATTCAGTTTCTTATGTAACTCTCAAACTTTAAAGCAATTAACTGAGATGACCTGGTGATAAGATTAGTGCTGCTTTATCTGTGCTCTGAGTGCTACCTAGAAATACAGCACCATTAGAAAAGTAAACAAACCAATAAGGGGAAGAAAAAAAGAGAGAGAGGAAAAGAAAAAGGAGAAGATAAGGAAGGCTTGACTTGATTTCTAGGATGTGGAAATAACCATGGTCTTATCTCAGCATTCTTGAAGCCTGAACTGAGGTTACCACGTGCAACATCAGGCTGGTTGCAGAGCTAACTTGAACACCCCCTCAAGTGAGATCTGGGGTTATTCAATGAAACACAAGGCTTTAGGTCAGGAACAGTAGAAGTCCAGACAAAGAAAAAGTCTCTGACCACTCTGTTGTCTTTGGTTAATATACTACAAAGAAGAAACAAAACAAACTAAACAAACAAAACAAACAAACAAAAACAACCACAAACAAACACTTAAAATAAATCTCATGGCACTGCAGGGTGGAATTGGAGAATTTGGACCAGGCAGCATACAATGGGAGGTAAAAAAAAAAAAGCACTGATGCTTGCCCAGACCTATAGGGAAATGAATGTGTTTCCTAGCATCTCCCAAGATGCCAGTGAATGAGGCACTGCAAAACACCAGTGAGCAGGACATGATTATGATCCCTGTTTCAAAAGGGAGAAATAAGATGCAGAAATATTAAATGGATTGTTCAACATCTCACATAGAAATCAATTGCAGAACTGGATTAGACCTTAATGCTGTGTTTAATTCTCTTCCCTCTCCTCTTCATTGCTTTCCACTGTGGCTTTATGATACTGGCAATCACAGATGCAGAGCTTAAAACAGTAGCAACAGCTGGCAGCCTCATTGTGGGAAAGCTTCCCACACTGTTCATCCAATATAAAACCATTTTGAAAGCAGGTACATAAAAAGGCGCCCCATCTCTCCTCCCTACAGTTAACAGTGACATATCTAGTGACAGGATTTAGGTTTAAAATATCAATTTTCAGTATACTGTTGCAAACAAGTTGACTTATCTTCAAAGTATAAAGGACTAAATACAAGGATTTATAATGCAGTAAAGTACTGTGTATAAAGAGAAAATTATTTGTGTTCTCTCAGTAAAGGAAATTTTTTCCACACAGCACTGTAAAAGTTAGGGAGAATAAAACATAGATTATATTGACTGCCTCTCTAATGTACAAGACAATGGTTCAAAGAGTATTTATAATCTTGGAAAAAATGTTTGCTCTTGAAATTCTAAATGTGGTTTCTAAAATTATGTTTTATTCATCTGATGGTGTCTTTGTTTCTTTTATATTAGGGAGTTGTATTTGGGCTTTTCCTAGAAGTGTATCATCTGAAAGCACCCAGAATTTGTTTGCGCTTGGTGTTTACCATGGAAAATCCGCACAAATATATGAAGATTAGGCTACCTACTGACATACTTTCACCAGTTTCCCTGCTTTGTGCCTTTTTAACACAGGTGCTGATCACTACTTCCATCTCCACTGTATGTCCACGTCACTGCTCCTGAATACACACAAAACATCCCTCCTATTCTTCCCACCTTTCCAGGGCTGTATCCTTCTGTATTATCATTCCACTCATGTGGCATTTTCCACTAGTATTGATGATGTCAATGTCACTAAATTGCCATTGTGTTTAAAGCTAAATGAATAACAGAAAATATTATAATTTACGGGAGAACATCAAAAGTGTAAGTTTTACTGTAATGTCAGAATATTCTCTCCTGCAGTCAGACATGAGTGGGCCTGAAGTACTGCTTTGGAGGCTTCTGCTAAGGCCTTCCACATGAGTGTGAACTTCACCCACGGAGGCAAAAAATCATGGAGAAAATTATGAATAATTAAAAAACATAAATTTGAGACTACTGCAACCTACTTGCCAATATTTTAGGAACAGGAAAGAAGAAAAAATCCAATTAATACATTATTCATTGCAAGTTATTCCTCATCTCTGACTGTGCTTTACACATAGGCCCCTGTACAAATTACAAGACATATTCCAGGTAACATTTTCTTCCATGCAAAACTGGATTTCAGATCTGCTATGGAGTGAAGGTAAGCATTACTACTCCTATTGCTGGCTGTTTCCTACATTACATCTCTGCCAGAAGCTTTAGCAATATTTGAGTATTCCAATAGATCAAGCTTCCTAAAGTATTAATGATATTCTCTCAGCATTTGCCTTTCTTCTAGCTAATTCTCCTAGCAAGATTATATATTTTGTGTAGGAGTGGAGAAATGTCTTGAAAAAACAATGACCTCTCCAGGATGCTATGTTGAAGCTTATGCTTTTATAGCTATTGGTATGTTGCCCTGGGTGTATCTGATTACCCAATGCCTGAAACAGCTACTAGTTCCCTCAGAAACCAGGCCTGGGACTTGGTGACGATAGCTTTTAGACCCAAAGATCCAGGAAAAACAGTCCCTGGACCAGAGATCCCCACTATTTCTGAAAGGGCAAAGATGCTTCTTTTGCTGGAAACTCTTATTAGCTGGAACATTTTTGCTCACCTATTACTACATGTCTAAATAGGCCTTTTTTTTTTTTTTTCCTTCTCCTCTTTTAGTAGTTGCAAGCTTGCTTTGGCCACTTTCTCTGAGATTGTAAACTGATTTTCTGTCTCTGCCATCTGACCCTGAAAACAATCCACCCTGCCAGAGACTGAAGGCTCAGAGAAGCTTTAAAGGCAAATGTACAATGCAAGAGTCCAAGTCTGTTGTTATTTCTGCCTCACAGCTCTGCCATCTTGACTGTTTTCCAGTTCTGGTCTTGTTTTTTTCTCATGCTCTGTGTTTTCTATCTCAAGTTTGTCAGAGATTTCCTTTGAGGGAGTTTATAGCAATTCTAGTGACTTTTTCATAGCTGAGCCTGCAGAAAACTCACTCTTTCACCACCTCAGTTTAGCTTTTCGTAAGGTGCTGACTGGTGCCCACATGGGAAAAGGCAGGCCCTGGGCTGCTTTGAGTGACCACATGGGCAGATTTGTTCCAAGAGCTCCAATCTGGGTAAGTCAGGAGCCGACCTTTCTTATGACCTCCTTTCAAGCTGAAAAACTCCTGTGATACCAAACTGGTGTTTTGGAGGAAGGAAGAAGGGACTATTTAATAGGTACCACTGTGCCTTCTCGTAGAGGGAGAGAAGGAAGGTAAAGGTAAAACAAGGGAGTCTGGAGTGTGGAAAAGTCTGTCTTCTTTGTAGAGCTGCTGCTGCTTGCTGGACTTCTCTGAAGGAAATGGGTTGGCAACATTTTTTGCCTATTGCTGTTGGTGTTGATGCTATCTCCCACTTAGGCCACTGTTGTGTCTGCTGGAGCTGGCATGGACTCCTCAGTGTCACCAAAAAGCAACAGAAAAGGTCACAAGGCTATCTGCTGGTTTGTTTTCACTTTGTCTTTCGCACTGAACTTAAGAGCACAAACTGAGCTCATGTTATTGTCCCAGATTCTAGTTAATCTGCATGGTATCAAGTGTCTCCAGAACCCTATACCAAACTACCCCCAAGTCCTTACCACTCATATCATGGACACCAAGTCTGTTCAGCCTTCCCCATCCTGCCCTGGTCTTCAGATGACAACTAGCAACCTATCACTCTCACTACCCAATTAATGTTAAAAAAAAAATAAAATAGTAAAGAAAAGAAAAAGCTACAATGTGAGTGACTTTAAACTATATATGATGTGCAGCCCTCTTAAATTCCAAAACAAGCACAGAAGTACCTTGTGATTTTAAATATTCTTAATAGCCGAACACATCTCAACACTGAAATGCCCAGTGGTGACATGATCTTTGTCTCAACCAGAATCGTTTCCAGGATTCCTCCACACACGATGAAACAGTCAAAGCGGTTGAAGAGGGACACAAAATAGGCCTGCAGACCAAGGCTGTACATCTTCAGCAGCATCTCTGCCGTGAAAAGAGCTAGCAGCACCTTATTGGCAGTGTCTCATGAAAAACAAACAGAAACAGAATGAAGAAACTTAGTTAAAGGATCATCACAGATAACTATTGACCCTTGCCTATAAGAATTCCCTTCTGGGATCAGCCTGAAAGAGCAACCTTATCTAAGCTTGGGTCAAAGAATGGACTTCAAAAGTGTGGGCAGTTCATTCATAGAAATGTTTTACAAGGATGGTTACAGCAATTCTTATGTATTGCACATACAGCTGTGATGTGTTACACAACCTCCATGGCAGGGATATGCCTTCTCATGCTCAACCTCCCGTCATAGTTGTCATCTGCAGATGGGAGCGGGAATAGAAGAGCTGTTGTGCTACCTGCTGTTGCTTAATTAGGCCTTTCAGCTGCTCTCGCCTCCAGTGAGGTTTCAACTGCTCTGCAGACTGAAGAACTTTACAAATCTCTCTTCCTTCCACACCTCCCTGGTAGCTAGAATTTATCATAAAACCATTTCAGGGAAGACCTTGGAGAACTTGTGGCTCCCAGGAGCCATCCATAAATTGGAAATCCAGTTGCTGCAGATATATATTCAGCATAAACTCCTGATTTCATCTACACCTAACAGAAAACTGCTTTGGCTAGAAGCCAGAAATTTATGTTTTCCCTGAAACCTCTCCTAACGTGGGCAGATATTTTCTTGTATTGGTTAAGGTCCTCCTCAGAAAAAGGACTATCTGCAGCTGTGTATGCGCCTTTTACACTGTGTGTCCTCCCTCAGCCCCCTTTCTTGACACTGACCATAACAAATAGCACCATCAGACTCTCCTTACCTTGGACCTCAGTGAGCCAGTCAGGCTGGTTGTAGTGTTCAGAGGCAATAGTAAGGGTGTTAAGAAACACGAGGAAGATCACCAACCAGTAGAAAACATTGGACTTGACAGCAGCACGGCACTTTCTTCTGCAGAATCGATTCCACCGGCGCCAGTAGCGACTTGAAAAATTAGAAAAGAAAGAGTGTTTTTCAGATGGGGAACCTTAGGCTACTGCAAAGCTCTGTCAAGGGAGACTCTAGTCTTGATTCATTGTCCAAAACTGGTAGAGGATAACTTTGGATTTCACCCTGAGAAATGTTCTCTCCTTATCATCTGAGTCAACAGTAGTGATCATGCTTTCTTTAGCTCTAGGAGTAAAGTTAGTCCTAAGCCAATTTGCAACATTTAATGATGAAGAAACCTCTTCAAGCAATGTCTTAATCTGATTAAGACATCCATCACAGCTATCCTGAGGTCTTTTAGCCCAGTTCCCATGGAAATCTTTATTCTTTCTGTACCTAATGCTTGTGGCCTGAACTCAGAATAGTCGATGAAAAGATGTCCACTATATAGCATGGACCTCTGGATAAAGCCCTTGGAGAGGTAGGATCAAATAAGTTCTGTGGAAGGTTTCCTACACTCTGCAAGGTTCAGGACCTAGCCTAATCCCAGAGATAACTCTGATCAGAAAAACTTAGGGGACCTCAACATTCTCACCTTCATGCCTGGAACTAAGGATACCATTTGTTAATCAACAAACCTTTTAAAGTTTGCCTTCCATGAACACATCCTCTTATGTCACTGATTTCTGAGGGTAATTACTAACCACAGAAGATATTTAAAGCTAATTACACACCTCCTACTCTTCAGAATTTAACTTGCATAGCAACCAGTTTCCAGGCAACATTTGCCACTGTATAATAAATCTAATAGTTTTTATATAGATGGTATATACATAGGGGTGTGTGTGTGCGTGCTCTATGGAGATGCACACATACACAACATTACAGGACAAAGGAGGAGAGAACTTTTCTTGGCTAGTCTTCTCTTACACATCATTGCCAGAGATAAGCTGTGGCCATACTTCACGTCAGGGTTCAGTATCTAGATAGACTAAAGCCAGGCGACATGAACGTTGCACACTCGCCAAGAGCTTTGCAACATTTTAACAGGTAATCAAATCCAAACTGTTTTAGCTATGTAATTTGTAAGGGCATCTAGTTTATGTAGCTCAATCATTTAATCAAGGTTGTGTGTTTTGCAGTGGATTAGAGACAAGAAATGATCTTCCAGCTTTCAAAAGTCACAACACATATGCATATACATTGCCCTTAAACCGTCAGCAATCCCTCACACTTGTGTGTACTTGTGTACTAGTGTGCATGCACATCACCACGTGGTGATACAAGTGTTTTCTTGTGCTTACACATAATACTTTAAAACCATAGTTTGTACAAATATGATCATGTATGTAATGCTCTGCACAGGGATGCATATGGGCAATATGTACATGTATGTGGATTCCTGAATTGAGCTTACTGTTTATCACTTAATTAAGCTGAAGGACAGAGTTATATTCTTGTCCCAGTTACTGTGAAAGTGTTTTTTTTTTTTTTTTTTTTTTTTTTATATATATATACATATATAAAATTGACTCTGAATTCAGAGTGTGGAGGGCAGCTGCTCCTACTGAAGATGTAGAAGTGGACTGGACATTAATAATAAAGTTACATGTATTCAGTCAACCCTTCCAATGGAAACCCACAAATGACCACCTGAGGACTACTTCACATTGTTAAGAACTAAGTCAACAGAGAAGGAAATACCACCATCGCAAGATTGTGCCTCATGATAAAAGAGCCTTCAAAAATAACCTGAAGATGCAAACTTGATCAGTTGAAAGATTTACAATCCAAGCAGACTAGAGTACTGGAACAAAGTGTAGAAAACAGAACCTTGAGCTGCCAGGGTTTATGTTGATGGGTGTAGTATAATTATGTGGTTGAACTTTTTTTCCTTCTGCTTTTATATTTTATGGTTCAAAATGTGTAGATAGCAATCAGATAGGTACTTCTGAGTGAAAATATTCTCACTAGTCCCTGCATCTTAGTTCACTGTGAAGCATGTTGATATTTGGTAGACGATTGACTAATATCTACCAAGTTTGGCAGCATGTTCTAGAATCAAGATTGTGTCCAACAGATGCAGGAGTAAACACTTCACAAAGTAAGGAAAAAAAAAACAGTGGAAAGGAAGAAAACAAAAAAAAATCAGTTTTACTTACCTAAACTTAGATTTGGAGATCCGATGCCTGAAAGATAAAAATTGCCATTAAAGTTTTTGAAGCTGTCCCGTACCTCCTAGACTTTTTTGAGAATAGTGACAGAAAGAAGCAAAGTTAAGCTCAATTATTTTTTTTAAATGCATGCTGTTTTCCTTTTGAATCCCCTGTTAGGCAAGATAGGCACTGGGTGGGGCTTGGATTCTCTGATATCTAAATCTTGTTGTTTGGTGGGAGTCATGAAGAAGGAGTCATGCAATTCTGCTACTTACAGATATTAGTGAAATAGCCTTTCTCTTGAGTAAAAAGATGGCCTAATGCTAGGAGTGTTGTACATCTGCTACCAAATTTATTTTTCAAGAGTAACTCTCTTTTTTCCTTTTCACCACAGTTTTTTTTTTTTCTTATATTAAAATATGTATGAATTTATACAAACAGACTTGTTGCTTTCACACATCACCTGTCACTTCAGGATATATAAGCACATTATGAAACCATGGGGAAAATAATGCTTTCTTTTCTTTTCTTTTCTTTTCTTTTCTTTTCTTTTCTTTTCTTTTCTTTTCTTTTCTTTTCTTTTCTTTTCTTTTCTTTTCTTTCTTTCTTTTCTTTTCTTTCTTTTTTTTTTTTTTTTCCCCAGCAATTGAGAGAAAAACAGTATATGGTGGACATTTTCATATTTACATACCAATGATCATATTTATTTGTTTTTATTATCTATGTAAAGTGTCTTGAAATTAAATAGGACTGAACAATCAGCAATTCTATTGCTATCAATGAAATTTGGGGTAACAAGCATTCCTGAAAATTGGAGCATGTTCCCACTAAACATGTGTTTAAATATTTAATTCCATTCACTCAGGTTCATTCACCTAAATAATCTCATTAGCCTTACACAAGAAGTCAAAGGAAAAACTAGGGACAGATCCCAATTCCCAAGCATGTGTTTTGCTCTGCTTAACACTTGTCTGTAAGTCCCTCGACTGTCTTGTAGTATGTACACATTGGTGCACAGAGAGAAATAAAGGTGTGTGTATGCAACAGCATTATTCAGAGTTGATTTAAGAAGCTGCAAAATCCACTACCAATAACAAAAGAAATGAAAATCTGGAGAGTGACTATGAATAAGATATTTCTGCTGAGTGGAAGCATTTCTTAAAGTTCCCTCTATGATAAGAAAGTGATTAATTGTTGACAACGGTCAGCAAAGATCTTCCTGTACTGGCTTAAAAATGGATTCACTGTTAGCTGACATAGGAGAAAGTAATGCTCAAAGCATCTAATACTACTTTCTCTAGCAGTCTTAAAACTGGCCATGTCCCTCTTCGAGGACATCAGTCACTGATGTGTAGTCTGTGAGGGGCCAGTTTCCTTATGTGGAAGACAAAAAAAAACAAACAAAAAACAACAACAAAAAAAAAAACTTTGCACAGAATTGCTGTGTCAAAGGCAGCTTGTCTGGGCCACATATAGGCAGCAGCATGGTTATAGACATATGCAAGAACTCTTTCAAAACAGAAGAAGAAATGCACTGGCTGCACAGAATGCTAAATTATACTGCAGAGGCAATGGAAATTTATTAAAGGTGCTTCACTAGTTATCCACAGAGCATATCCTTAATGTTAATACTATCTGAACATCACACTGAGAAGTCTTGCTTAATAAGCCCTACCTACTGACTGTAATGGATCAGATTTACAATGCAACAGGAAAGAAGGATCAGACAAGGCTAGGAGAAAGAAAAAGAAGAAAAAAAAAAAAAGCAATCACAGAGAAAGCTTGACACTGAAAATGAGATGGCAAGGACTTTCACAGGAAGAAGTTGGGGGGAGGAAAAGAGAGCAAAAGAGATGTCATGGGGGATTTGCTCAGTGTAAGGTGAAGGAAGGACAGGGAGTATGAAGTCCTCTGATGACCTCTCTGGCTGATGGTTTCCCAGTAAGGGAGCTCTGCTCTGTTGCATTTAAGGAATCTTTTATTTATTTAGGCAAAAAGAGATGTGGCAGGTGTAGTACTCATCACGCATGTGACAATTATCTTTGGAGCATTACAAGCAGCAGCCAAGTGCATTCAGTGCTCCAACAGGTTAGCTACAAACCACTGCCCTCCCCCCCAGTGCCTTACTGCTACAGCAGAAGGCTCTATCACATGTGGGTGTGCTGTATATATAGAACAGAACAAGGGAGGAGGAAGAGATTTATATTTAGAGGCAGAATCCAAGAGCAAAATTGAATTCTGGAAACACGAATTGCACAATAACTGGTTTTGACAACATTATGCCCTACTCTGAAACATATTTTTCAAGTGACCCCTGTGATCCAAGAAGCCTTTGTCTTTCAGAACCAGTATTAACTACATAGTACACAAACATGTTCTTAGAGCATTTTTCAGACAGTTAAATAATCTGAATTTGGGGCCTTGTCATGGCCTCTTCATGACACTCTAAACTAGCACTAGCCAGGGATTCGGTGGACCAGATTCTCTGCTATAGGTTTAAACAGGGATCTCTTGCACCCCTGATATTCTGGATGCTCTACATATTTGGGAGAAAGAGAGTTTCCCCACTTGTGTCCTGCTCTGGAATGTCTCTCTCTCTCTCTTTTTTTTTTTTTTATCATGGTATTGGAGTCTATGAGAAAATTACTGCAGATCACTACTACTGAGTGTTTTTGTCATAGAGACCACGTAACTCAGATTATGTTTTAGAAAGGCAAACATAGAAATCAGATTTTTATCATTTGACTAGATATCTTTAATTCTCTAAAAAAACTCTGCTAATCTTACCTGGTTATATACCACATACAGATAAGACAGTAAAATTTAAAGATTTTATAAGCATAAGCTCAGGATAATCAGCGTAATTTAAATGTAGTGAGATAGCCCATATTCTGAGAGATAAAGCAACAAAACAGATCTTTGGAAAGCCATCTTCCCTTTCTGTCTTCATGCTGATGGAAGCTTATTTCATTCCAGGATGCTGGAATCCCTGAAGAGAGGATGCCCACCCTGGGGTTCTTCCCCCCTGCCCCCACATTCCTAGGACAAGAGCATATAGTGACATAGAATCAGGAATTCTCAATTCATTCTCATTCAAAGGAATTATTTTCAGGAACGCATACTGCATACCTAATAATCTCTCACCCTAATAAAGTCTTAGGGTTAAGTTCTACCCTCAGCTACTTCTTTGCTATTCACACTGAAACAATGGGCCTCCATCCTTCCACCTGCTCTCCTCTGTACAATGCAATTAATACTTCAGGGACATACAATGTCCATTTCTAATTTTTGACCATTTATTAAAAGCTCTAGCAAAATAGAACAGAAGACTGGCCCTGGAGAACTTGAGCTCTGATGTGGACTGAGATCCTTCTGCTTGCCCTTCTTGCACAAGCACTGAAGAACATGCTGACCTGAACAAGTGATGCTGGTTTTAAGAGAGGTGGTTGTTAGCCAGCAGCAATAAGAATTTGCAGAACATCCTTAAGAAAAGTGGATCTATCTGTCTTAAAATTGAGCTGGTTTGATATTTATCAGGCCTTCTCGGGCTGGGAAACAGACTGGGAAAATAAGCCATCACTTCAGAATTGTTCAAAAACACCAGCAACTATAGTGAACCTGCAAGTAAACTGTCTCTTTCGCCTTTATCATTGGCTCTTCTGTTGATTATGGCAAGAGCTGCATAGGAATTATTTTACCAGGAAAGCACCAAGTAAAAAATCAGTGATGGTTCAGCTGCCAGGGAAAGCTTTCATTGCTCATAATATTTTAAGGATAATGTTTTCGGTTAAAAAGCCAGCGTAGGCTGTTCATTTTGTTTTATCATCTTTTATTGTTTTAACCCTCTTTGGCGGAAAAAACAATCAAACTGTCCCCCAAATGTAGGGAAATCCCAGCCAAGGTGAAAATGCCAAACGGCTTCTTGTTTCAGTGAAAGCAGATCATGTTAAGCTGTCTTTCCCTTTGAGCTCAAGTGTTTCAGTTTTCTACTGTGGCTCCACGGAACAGTTTCCTACTGTTTCCACAAAGGTTTTTTTTTTTTTTTTTTGTCTTGCTAGTACATATGTGTAAAAACAAGTTCTATTATGGCACTCCAGATCTGTATGACTGTATTAGAAAATTAGCATTCTGGTTGTATTAGAAGATTATATACACTGCCATCCTGCACAGAACAGATTACTGTTGATTATAAGCAACAGCCTGTCCACAGGAATCTAATACCTGCTGAGCAGTAACCATAGAGGTTTTGAGAAATTACTCACTATTGGAAAGTCTTGGGTATAAAGCCATCCTGTAAACAGAAACCCATTGCTCCTAGTTCTGGGTTTATCTCACTGATACTTGTAGAGGAAACACTTTTCCTTGTACCTGGAGGCAACAGGCTATTAGAGCTGTGACACATCAGAATTAAGATAAGTTCTACTTCTAAACATTGGCCTTGAGGATAAAAGCTGTTGTGTTTCTACTACAGGGTAGATGTCAGCACAGTACAAGGCAATATCATGACAGAGATGATATACTGTGGAAATTCTTGGATGTTTTTCAATGTCCTGTGGAACCCTACAAAACCTTCTTCAAATTCAGATACCTGATAAAGGTAGCACCCACCTTAGGAAGGGAACTACTCTTGGCCACATCTCACCTGATGGCAGCAGAATTTAACTAGGGATGAATAGGAATGAAGTTTTTGTTTTAGTTTCAAGAAATCAGATTTACAAAATAAGCAAAGAGATTAGATGTTATATTCCTCCTGAAACTCCTTCTGCTGGTTTGAAGCCTGGCATTGCTCCAGACAGCACAGCTGATGAAGGCAGTTTCTATAGTATGGATACTATAGAAATAAAAGCTTCTTTGAAACAATTCATCAGTAGGAGTGTGTTTGAGAGGTACTCTCTTGATCTCACATAGCATATGTCTTTGTGGAGCTGAGAAAGGCTGTCAGGGAAGATCTCCTTTTCCAAAAGGCATGCTTGAGCCTGGTTTCTCAAGCAGATCTTTCTGTCATTCACAGACCAAGCCTTTCAAAGCTCTACAGTTTTTTATACAAACAAAAAGAACAGCCAGTAATTCTACGTTATCTTCACTAAAAATGCTTTTTCCTTCAGTTGCCTGGATACTTTTTACCATGAGCCCATTCCGAAGGTGAGATCAGCCTGTAACCATGGTGGTGGTGGCAGTGCTGGGGTGGTTAAATGCCCTACCAGCCTGATGCCACTAAATAAATAAATGTATTATCTTTGACTTGAAATCTCCCTGTTGCTTCAGTCATGTCTGGTTGCAGCTTGCCCAGTGCAGTCTCTGCCCTCTGGGAAAAAATGTGTTTATAGCAAGACAATGGGGACTCATGGCCACTAGATGTTTTTAGCAGGCTGGTAAAAATGAAGACTCGTCTGCAATACATGAAACTCAACAACTGAACAAGAAACTTGTCTGGCCATTTCACCTGTAAAAACAAATTCCAGAGGGCAGATGACTGCTCAAAAGTCCAGGGCTAGACTTCAGCTAGAGTAAATCAGGATGGCATGACCATAATTATTAACACTTACTGAAAGTCACTAGTACTACATGAGGAACTTATTTGAAAAATTCAGCTGACTTCTGCATGAACTATTCTTATCATTAAGTGACATTGAAGAATTATTGGAAACACTGGGCCAAATTCTAATGCTCTGAGTCAGGTCCCATTGAAGTTACATACTACTTCAAACCAATTCTGAAATCCTTGCTTACATTTTATATGTTCCAGCAGAATATTGACCTGTGAGAGGTTTAAATGAAGGCTCAGTGAGAAGAGGAGGACATAATAGTTCTTGAAACCAGGAAAGCTGATTTCTCTGTCCACCTGACTGTGTGATACAGTAAACAAGTAAGACAGAGAGGAGTCCAAGCCTTAGAGTGCTAGGCACATCTGAATATACCCACAACTGCAGAATCTGGAGCTCCACAGGTTTACAAAATCAGACAGCATTGATGAAATTTGTATTTAATTCCAGACTTTCAAATACAATGATTGTCATTCATTTTCCTGGTTGAAGGCTCCCATCCATCTCTGAGAGATGAAAAGCAATCTCAGTAAGGCCTTGAGGATCTTGAGGGTCCTTGGGTAAGGAGTAAAAAACCAACAATAACAACAACAACAAAAACCTCACCCTTCTCAATAACAGACTTCAATTTCCCTACTGTGCACCACCCATTTTCAATGGAAGTGGAAAGTGGCAAGGAAACTGTTTATCTCCCTGAATCTTACACGTCCTGCTCTGGTGAAACTTAGGGCGCTGTTTTAAGATTTACAACACAGGAAGAAGAAATGAAGTTCTGTTTTCCTGTTGTCTTTCTATGTCCTCTTCCTCCAAATGTATCTGACATAGCTATCCCTTCTCCTAATACTGTGGGCATGGTGATCACTGCGCCAGACCAGAGTACTGTTTTTTTCCTGTGGACATGTTGGACTGTTTTAAGTAAACTCCATTCTAAATCATGATTACATGTAGAGTTGTGTTAAACTTCAGCTCTCTTGGCCATATTCCAGCTAAGGTAATTAAGTTCTGCATGCCAAAAATCCCCATACAGTTCCGGTGCAAAACAAGCTACCCTTCCACATCTCCTTGTACACTCACGTCTTTTCTCCTTAAGCTTTTAAACACCTGTCACATTTTACCCTGAAGGTGGCTGAACTCTAACATAATCCTTGCCTGTACGGCTCATAAAGTGTTTTAGGATCCTTTGGGATTAAGGGCATTAAATGAATGCAAACTGTAATATTAAAAATATATGCAACTTTATAGTAACAGTTGACATTGTTGTTGGCACTGTGTAGCACCAGGGGACCCATTGTGTTAGGAACCGTAACTGCAGAATAGAGATGGTTCTCCAAATTAGATCCAGCTGGAAGAAGTGGTCACATATCCAGCTACTGCTTTCTACAGAGTGACAAGAGCACAGGCATCTCAGTGGGGTGCTAAAGGGAGAGTTACAACTGCCTTAGTGCTATGAATAGACCTAGCCTGGCTCCTTCAGAAAAAAAGTTCCTAATCTAAACTATAATGCCAGACTCAGCAGGTACACAATGGCAGGCAGGTGAAGGAAAGCTGTCACACTTTCTTCTGGGGTTTGTAAGTCACTGGCTGACACTTCCAGGAAAGCAGACTGAATTTATAACATATTTCACATATCACATCGTGTAATGCAGATAAGATCCCCTCCTCTTCAGTTTGTAGAGGAGAAGGCCAGGGGTGTGTGTGGGAGACACAATCAAGGTTTATGAAGTCATGAAAGTGATAGATAAGCTGAATGCAGAACTGTTGATCACCAGATCTCACAGTATAAGAAGGAGAGGGCATTGACTGAAAGTGGTGGTAGATCAGCTTAAAACATATACACTAAAGTACTTGTCTACACAGCAGGTAGTGAGCTTCTGGAAACTTGTTGCCACAGGAGATTGTGAGGGCAGGCAGCATTAGCAGTTTCAGATAAATCCATGGCTGACAGGTCCATAGATCGCTGCTAAAGGCAAAAAGAAGTGTGCCCTCTAAGATCTCTAATATGATAAGCATGAATTCAGGAGCAGTAAAAGCTGAATGAAAGGCAGGAAATGATCAGGCTTGCACACTTGCCCTCCTGTCACTGTCAAGACCTGAACGTTGGACCACAAGGCCTGCCAAAATAGTATTTTGGCATCAGTATTTCTTATGTACTTATGTTCACCAATTAATCAACACTGAAGGGTTCAAAGTACACCCAAGGACAGGACAGAGTCCCAGAATACTCCAGCAGAAGTGCTTTGTCCATTTTTCAAGGAAATTTGGTGAGATTAACGTATTTGCCTGCAGCATAAGGTCCATTCCTGTTCGAGTCAGCTTGCAAAAAGCAAGAAAACATTCCTGTTGTCTGTTCTTGCTCTCTGTGGTGTTTTAAAAAGTGCACAATAAAATATAAATGTCTTCTATAACTGCTATCTCATGTTCTCGAGCATGTCTATTAACAACAATGGTGTGATTTTGAGGAGGCATTATTCCCTCCCTATTGATGCATTTCTTTGTCACTATGATGTTGTGTTCAGCACTTAAAGGGTGTAATTCAGCTGAAGGATGAGAGCTACCATATGTGTATTTCTATTACAAGATACCATAAAGTGTAGAGGAATCATTAGTGAAATTAAAATATACCAGTCAATTTCACTGCTTGGTCTGTATATGCTGGATTTCATTATCCATCACTAAAGATAAATTTTAAATTAAGAACATTTATCCATCAGTTCTTCTTTTAGCTACTACGCAAAACCAGCTCATCTTATTTTGGGAATTCTATGATTTATTTGTATGTATGTAATCCCAGAGGCTCTCCACTAACGTCCAGAGTGAGTTTACACTGCAATTAAGATAAGAAGTGGGATCAACAGATCGTCTCCATCCTCTCCTTTCACCCATACTGTGGTGTACTCCCCATTAAAAAGGCTGACATTTGCCTTGGCTTTAAACCCACAAAGCTCAATCCAGCACCTACATACATATAACTGCGTATATGTACTCACGCTAGCCTAGCACCGCAGTTTTCGCCTTCAATATCTGCTCCAGGGACGTTGTCTGTGTTCACGGACTCGGTCTCACTGGTGGGCATGCTCACTGTAAGAGTCAAAGGGAAGAAAAAGAGAGGGTTGGCCATTAGAACCTGACACATCTATTAATGAATCACATCAGTGAAGGAACTGGTGTAATGAAAAGACCCTCAGCTGCAGCTCCGGAGGATTAGTTGATCAAGTCTGCTGCCTCCCTGCATAGGCCAGGATGGGCAGGTAGACTTTAGGAACATACATAGGTTACTTGAAAGCTAAAGGAAGGGGAAGAGCCAGCTGCTCATTTTCTTTCTGAGTTGGCTTCTGGCAATGTTATGAATGAGAACCACTGAAAATTAGAGAACCTTCAAAACCAAGAAAGAGGCTTTTGCTTGATTCAGTGAATGCTTAAGATGATTCCCCCTTACTTGCAACCAGCCCAGCCACCTAAATGCCCTCCCCAATCTCTTGTGGAGAGGAGTGCAAATAAAAAGTACCAGACTGATAGGTGTTCAAAAGACTTCTGTTAGCCTGATAGCAAGTACCACAAATAATACTGATGGCTCATCTGTCATATACTACCATTGATGCGTTTTAGCCCTGCACTTAGAAACTGGGCCTATAGGGATAAGAGGGAAATTCAGACTCTGACTCTTTCAGACATTATCAGCAAAGGAACTAATTAATATGGACTGTGGCAGAGATTTAATCTTGACACCCATCAACCAAGATCTGGAAAGAATTTCCCCCACTTTTGCAGAAATGTCATGGAATAGCCATTAAATGAAAGCAAACTTAGGTGCAAACCTACTTCATCTGAATTCAAGGAGGTGTTATCTTCTCTTATGAAAACTTAATATTTTATTTGCTTCTGTTGATCACAAAGGTTCATGGTTTCCATTCCATGAATTGCTCCCAGCTCCTATATGGGCTTTAATAACTTCTTTCATACACAAACGTTCAACTTAAGGTAGAAGAAAAGAAAGGATAGTACAATGTGTCCTCTTCCCTTCCCTCTTTTTAATAAAAAAATTAAAAAAAATACAAAAATATACAGAAAATGTTGCTTCAAACTGAGTAATGGAGGACTGAGGTCTCTCAGATGCCCAACAGGACAGCAAAACATGACCTGCACTGGATGTATATCTCAGATGAGATCTGACAGCATGCACTATTAGCTGTTAGAGAGGCTTTTAATAGCTTGTCAAAACAGGTTACTCGTTAATAAGAAAATATCTATTTGGGGATCAATGGTGCAAAAAGAGACAAAACAGAATAAATATGCTCTGCGTTCCAATTGGACAGATGTTTAATGAGCCATGGGTACAGGTCTTCTTTCAGAAACTAGAAAGATATCAGAAGGTTCTTCCAAAGGTCTAAGAAATACCTGGGTTTCTGCTTTGAAAGAACTGTGGTAGAAATGCCCCTCAAAATATTTCCTTCACCCCATCCCAATGATGCAAGTGCTTCCAATGTGTATCTTTGGACATCTAAAGCTCTTCTACTGTTTTCTGTAGGAACACAGCCCATAGGAAATAATAGTCTCTCTACCACTCTTGACAAAACCATTAAATACTGTACTCTAATGGTGCTCATTTCTTTGCAAAGACTAGATGTTTTAATAACCTTGTCTGTTCAGAAAGATGAATTAAGAAATCAACTGAATTAATATTTTGATGCACATGGAAGAGTCAAGTAAATTGTAAGAAAAAATGACATTCATAATTCAAATTTTCAGTCCAGATTAAGCCCTTCAGAGGAAAAAAAAAAAACAAACACCGGTATTTGGCAAGTCATCTTTGAAGCTGAGGTAAAGCACTTTCAAGACATTATTTGAGCTTATTTGCAAATGGAAAACAATCTTGAAGACATTAGCAAGAGATTGATTTGCAGAACAGCTTATTATCTTGAGTGCATGAAGAGGACACTGCACAAGCAATAGAAAAAGCAAGGCACGCGCATGCAGAAGTATACAAAGATACATCATGTGTCAGTCTGCATAGAGACATATAGACACACACACAGACAAATATACGCAGTGTGGACACAAATTGCAGTCGAACATTACCATGGGTTTCTGTGGAGTGACTAAACCAAGCAAACTTTCCTTTCTTCTTATCAGGCAAGCCAGACGGAGTGCTTCCTTTCACAGACAAGATGATCAGTGTCAAGTACCAGGAACAAGACATCAATAGAGAACATGCAGCCAGTGACAGGCAAAAGAAAAAAACAAGGAACTCAGCTTGCACACGACATCCAGTTCTGTCTGAAAACTTCATCATGTGAATTAAAAGTACAAAATCAAAAACGAAAGTATACGGAAGTAAAAAATTTTACAACAGATCACTGGAGGATAATGTTCGCTTGCTTTCTGCTCTTTTTTTATATTTGTCTTCTGAGACCATGAAGTGGCAGAATTTAAGTTTATGGGTCACATCCTTTTTCCAGTGATATCAATGGCAAAACTCTTCTTGTTTGACTGCATGACCTACAGAAATCAGTGAGACTACGGCAATCGCAATTTGTCCCAAAGTTATCCCCTGATCCTTATTAGACTAGCCTATTTTTGAATGATATGTTTTGTGGTTTTTTTGTTTTTTTTTTGTTTTTTTTTTTGTTTTTTTTTTTCCCTAAACTTTTTCAATATCAAGAAACCCTTGCAAAACTGATGGAGCTGCTAAAGGAAAGTAGTTGGAATAATCACATTTCTCTGTCTTTTCCCATTTGTAGAGATTAACAACCTTCAAGCACTCAGATTTATCCTGCCTTACTCAAACTAAGACACACTTCAGCTATGCCTCATGATTTCCATTTGAGTTTACATTTGGTATTTACCCTCTGATGTTCTTCTGCTGCGTGGCTTTTCATGGCATTACTTAGTGTTGATCCTCTGCTTATTATGTATGCATGGAGGTCCCCAGCCCACACATATCAGAGATGTATGTGCAAAGGTGTCACAAAGCGTACTTTGCACTTCCCTAATCCTGCTGCTGTGGAAGGCCAAATTAAAGTGAGGGATACAGGTGCAGTGACACACAGGCTGAAGAGCCACCTCCTGTGGTTTGGGCTAGCTCACTAGCATTAACTCCCAGGCACTTCCTACACTGCACTGATGGAAAATGTTAAGGACAATAAAAAGTATTAAGATGGTGTCACGTATAAGAATGATGGCCTAGAAGTTAGAGGTCATGATAGACAGTAGACTAGGACCGTATTCTCAAATGTGATATGCTCTCAGCAGGGCAATCACTAATTTTCTGTGGCACCTCACTTCACCTTCAAAATCAGGGGATAATCATGTGCAGAGCTGCTGTGAGGGTCATTCAGGCCAGTTAACAAATCCTAGAAACAAAAGATGCTGCAGAAGACGTGTGTATAAACTGGGGCTGAATATGAGATGAAGTAAACCAAATACTGTCTATATGGCTTTCTTACCTGATTCAGTTCTCAGGGACACAGACCTTCTGCCTGCACCCCAGCTCCAGAACAGAAACAAGGCAGGCATTTTTTGCAGTCAGGGTAATTAATTACTGCAACCATGTACCAAGAATGCTGGTGGTGAATCTACCACAGGAATGTTTTAATCAGGAAGAGATGTTTTTCTAAATGGTGGGCTCTAGTCCAGACCAGAGCTATGTTCAAGCTCATACTATACAGACTATGCCATCTCAACTGGCCACTTCCTCCTTGTAATTTTGGAAGCTGAGACAAAAGCAAGAGGGAGACAAATGCGTATTTCCTTCTACCTGGGCACAAATGACTCAGGGGGAGAAATCCTGGTGTCTTTCCTCCTTTCCCATGTGTGATTAGTGAAGTATTCACTCTGACAGGAGTGGTTCCCTGTCAGCTTCAAAAATCCTATTGCTTGTACCCAGATCAGAGGTCCCGTAGGGCTGGGTTCTACCAGATGCAGAGGGCATATTGCTCTCTGTGGGTCCCCCACCTCTCTGGCCTTCAAGCAGGCCAACAGATCTTCCATCTAGCACATGCTTTGCATTGTAGGCACTTTGGTGTCCAAACTGCAGCACAGACACTATCCCTGTGCATATGATTCAATGGTCCACCTAACACCTGAGGGTATTAGGTTAACATCTAAATGCCTACGTCGTACATAGGCGACTCCTTGGCACAAGGGATAGCAGGTTGCTAAAGGAGTGAGAAGGCATTTCCACTGGGTAGTTTGCTTTTGCCTGGCTGCACCAGGAGTAGCAGTGCAGCTAACAGGGCAGTGAGCACAAATTGCAGGCAGCCTGCTCCAACCAAACCAGTACAGTGAACTGCTACCAACAGCACAGGGACAGGTCCCATAGAAGATATTATGCACTTCCTTGGGGCAAAACACAGCAGCTTTGCTTACGTGGCAATCTTTTTTTGGATTTATCCTTAGTCATCACAATCATAATTCTCTCTGGTTGATGAAATCTCCTATTAATTGCACATTCTCAAAACTGTATAGCAATTTATTTTTAAAGGGAAGTGAAACAACCTTTTAAAGGCATCAAAGTATTTCATGGTTTCAGTAGAATGAAAACCTTAAGGACCAGTATGTTTTATACTTTACAGTCGCTTCTGAAATGTTTGCACTTCTTACATCTCTCCACAGTGTGGCTCATCTCTGAATACAGAATTTTCCTCCTGGACTGCCTAAACTCTGATTTCATTTGACTTACATAGCGTTCCTGCAGCAACTGAAGTAGCAAAGGCTATCTAGCTGCTTCCTTAAAAATAAATCTGAGATATGCTTCATGTTGTGTTAATTCTAGCTCTGAGACCCAGCAGACAGAAGTAAGGACAAAGAGTCTGCAGTCTGCGACTGGCTAGATAGACAGATGTGCAAGACCCTTTGAGAGCCTCTGTTCCATGTCACTGGCATCAAGCTTTGATACCAGCTCTCCACTTGCACTAACATATGTCCCTCCTCCAACCAATGCCCTGTGGACATGCAATAAATTATTAGATGGCAGGTTGCCAAGAGACAGACAACCACTCAAGCAGAAAGCTAGCACAAGCAAGTACCCTTCTGTGTAGCCCTGAGATTTTTTTTTTACTTTACACACTTAGAGAATAATATATGCTCCCAGTTTGGGAATATCACTACCACTGATGCATCTTGCTTTTATGGCACTTTTGTTATCTTGCCAGTGGAAGTAATTTTAATATTCAGATTTATCTCCATGGATTATAATGTCGCCACACTTGCTTGTTGCTGAATCTGACTTTAATGAACCTCACTGTGAGAACTTAAGACCCAGAGAAGATGAAGCCTGGGCAAAAGGTGCCACAGTTCCACAAACATAGATAAAGCATATACTTTTCTCAGGTTTTAATGGGACACACTACTAAATGACTCTGCAGACTTGGTCATTAGTTTTAGAACTGGATATGTTAGAGGCTACTCACTTTGCCTGATTTCACATCTCTGATTTAGCTGTTTGATTTAAGCTCCAGAGGCAGAGAGGTTCCTATCACAGGTTTTCTGAATGGCTCATTTTGCTTATGGGAGCTTATAGCTCCCTCAACCACATGGACAGGCTGGGCATTTACAGTAGGCCCTTAGTTGGGTACCTGACCAAAACAGTGTGACTACTCAACAGTGTGTTCATCCATATTCAAAAAGACTTGCCGTGGGTTTTTGGATTAAGAGAAGGAACAATATACTTGATTGTGTATTCTGATATGTTCACCTGGACTACAATTTCCTCCACTCTCTAATATCTGCTTGTATTGAATGACATTGTGAAATATCAACCTAAATCACCCCTTTTGCCTATGTTGCTATTTGAAGTCAGATGGACCTGATGCTACTTTTTGTGTCACCTTGCTCATGTGATCAAGCCTTTCTACATATCTGCTCAGTTTCTCTGAAATGGGGATTATAATTCTGCTCTCACCTTGCAAACCTCTCTGAGATCTGCAGATGAAACACATTACAATAGGTGCTAAGTACTATAGTTATTACTGATGCTTATGTCTCCCAAGTGGGACTCTGCAAAACTATAAAGCAAATCTAAAGAGCAAAGAAGTCCTGTGAATTCTCCAGCTGAGATTTAAGATTTCTCTTTTCTATCAAGCACAACAAGAATAAATTGCAATATGCAGGCTGCTTCCTTTAACAGAATGCGCATCAAGTGAATGACTTTGTCTCCAGTAAGAACCTTGCTTCCTGTGGTGCCTCTCATGCCCATCATTTCATGAATGAGTTTATGGGCAGCTGTCAGAATATCAATTGACTTTTTTTTTTTTTTTTTTTTTTTTTTTTTTTTTTGTGGAGAGTTCTCATTTTAATTAATATGTGAATATTGCCTAGCTTTCCTCTTCTCATTGCCTGTTTGGAAATGCTATACTCATTCATCATATTTATTAATTTAAATAAGATACAGCATTTATTCTGATACATGCATACAGTGTCTTGGGAACAATCCGTGAGTATGTTCTTAAATGGAAGCAGCATGCAGAGAATAAACTGTGCAGAGGCAAATGAATAATTTTCTCTAGATCTCTTCCTGATTTTTTGACTTGGGAACATTTTGGGGTTTTCTGTTTTGAAAAGAAGCTCTGCAATAGGAAGGTTTCTACAAGAGAAGAGGAAAAAGAACTTAAACTATCTGTAGGAACTTGGTGGTTACACACCTCCCAAAGACAGACAGAATGAATCAATGAATCTAGCACCAAAAAAAAATTAAAAAAAAATCCAGAAAAATTGTGAAAATACTTTCAAAATCCTTATGGAGGGCTCAGAGGTCAACGCCCATACAGACGGTATTATGCACACAGTACTACATTAAATATATGCAATACATACACTTTCAATAACCTAATTTTGGGTTACATACAAATGACTGCAATTAGAAGGAGAGAGCTTGAGTTGCAGTTTCACTCAAGGTCGAATTGAGGATAGCAACAAAGAGCCATAGAGCGTCTGTCAGTTGCATCTACTTCAATCAGAAACAGAGAGGCTTTTGCTAAAAGGACCTTTACACCAGCAAACCAACAGCAAAGGTGGAGCAGCTAGTGTGTAGTAACAGGGCTTGTCATTACAGGCATAAAAGCAGGCTGAGAGGACTGATGCAGTGCAGCAGAGGTTACCGACTGGAGCAGAAGTAGGAACATTGCCAATACTGAGATGGAGTATTGTATGTCCAA